TGTGGTAAGATTCCTTCTACGGTTGTGTGTGGTTGCACGTCCTTCATTTTGACTTCTGTCAATATAGCACGATCAGTTTATCCATTCTCTGTGTGCCAGGCTCAAGGTACATTAGGTCATTTAATCTTCACAACAACTTTCCAACATAGGAGGAAACCACTTTCTCCTCCTGCTCAGCATGGCTCTACCGGTCCTCTTTCATGATCTCCGTTTTAAAGATGAAAATGAGGATTAGAAGAGTCGAGTAACTTTCCTGAGGTCATAACTCGTGAATGGTGAAGTTTGAATTTGTCCTGAGAGCTGAGGCCTTGTTTTGAGAAGAAGGAAGTACTGGCAGCCCTGGTCTTCCCTCCCTAAGCTCAGTAGAGCAGCAGGGAAGCACTCTGCCCTCTTCTGTTCTCTCCATGATCTTCACGTAAATACAGCTATGTTCTAATGACCCTGGCTCCCATCCAGCTAGCCCAGCCCCAGAACAAGGGCCTTAGGTCTCCTGGAGCTCTCCTGGGTTCCATTACTCTATAAGGACCTTAGTACCCGCCTGGATGAGCCCCACCTGTTGGAAGAGGAGGAGAAAGTCCACTTGGAGAACTGAGAAAGTTGGGGGAGCTGGGCTGTTGACCAAGCTGACCTTTCCTTAGGCCACTGTCTAGTTTAGAGACTAAGCTCTGAATGCCTCTGCTCACTGGGGTTTGATGTTCCTGTTGTATAGCTGACAGCCCGACCCATAGCTGAAAAACAAAGGTAGGGACACAGGTCTGCAGCTCACCAACCAGGTCCCCTCTGAGACCCGAGTCCTCCCTCCCATCCCAAGATTGGGGCTTGGTGGTGCCAGTCCAGGGGGTAAATTGCCACAAGGGTCAGAGCTTAATGCCTAGTGCCCTGGGCATCACCGACCTAAAGCACTGCTCAGACCTGGGGGAGGCGTGAGCCAGAGTGTGTAGGAAGAAAAGGGCAGGGTCCTCTCCTTGTAGAAACATGTGCACCTACTCCACCAACTTTTATGAGGCCCTGGAATGTTATTTGTTGGTGACCACCCAACCATCCCACCAACAAATGGAGCACTCTGAAGGGAGTTGTAGCTGACCTCTTAATGTGAAACAGCATATAAGGAGATGAGCTAAGAGGTAGGGTCTGTTTCTGCACATTTATCTCTGGTTATTAGACACTTTTAGAGGGAACATCTGTTAGTCCACTCTGGCTCCCATATTGCGGCCCCATTTGAAGGCCAGCTTGGCCCTTTCTCTGACTGAATGGGGACTAAGCCATAAATTAGAGCCAGAAGGGGGCCCTAGAATAGGAAGTTAGAGAAGGCTTTGCTCATCTCACCAAAAAAGAGAGAGTTGGGCTCTTCAACTGACCAGCCTTCAAATGAAAAGCAGAAGAAAATGGAGATAGTTCCAAAGGCACCTGGCAGTGCCCAGTCCCAATGGACCCATTTATTATAAGGTTTATCCTGAGGACAGCACCACTACTCTAGGTGGGACCTGGGAGTGCCACACAGCTTGCACACAGCTTGCTGGGGCTTCCCAAGTTCCAGCAACCTGGGCGAGGCTCCATTATTTGATTTCTCCTTTGGTTTAAAAATTGGATATCTGTTTTACTGTAGGAATGCCTGTGTTTATAGCAGGACTTTCCACGTCCCCTCACAATATGTTCTTAGGAGATGTACACATTGACTCAGTCTCAGGACAATAGGCCAATGAGTTGTACAAGAGGAAAAACTCTTTATTTTCTTGTTAAGTTTCTAAGGATACTTACAAGAACATAAAATTAATACAATAGGTTAAAATTCTCCTTTGCCCCTGTTCCTTTGGATAATGTTTCTCTAGCCTACATATCTAGCCTGTTAGATCCTTCCACCTGGACACACCACTGCAAATTGAAACTCACCGTGTGACCCCATAGTCCCATTCCAGCTGTGACAGTCTGTGAGTCCATGCCTTACCCTGCAGTCTCCCCCTCTGCACATTCCTCCTGTTTCTGTTGATGCCCCATAGTCTTGCAAGATACACAGGTTGAAAATTTTGTAACTCTGAAGGCTGCTTCACCCGTTCTTCTTCCTTGCTCTTCCTATCTCTCCTGAAACCCCTCCAGTCCCTGGCTCCAGTGACTTGCCAAGGCAGCTCCACTTATTACAGCTTTTGCACCCATCTGTGGTGTTTTAAATAATCAGCCACCCAATTCTGTCAATTCTGCCCTGATGGTGCTTCTTTTATCCTCCCCAGTTCCGAAAATCCATGACTTGACTGAGGTGCACATTATCTTTACTTGGACCCTGGAACAGCCTCAGATACAGAATCACCCCATTACAGTTCATTCTGCATATGTTGCCATATTGGTTTCCCTAAATCACAATTCATATCACCCTCCTGCTCAAAAGTTTGCATTGGATGTCCTTCTTTAGCAGAGAGTACTACCTTTCTACTCGAACATTCGAGCTCTCTGCGATACTGCCAAATCTGTCTTTCCAGTCTCGTCTCCCTTTTACTTTTCTGTGCTCTGGCCAAACTAGACAATCCAGTGTTGTTGAAACCCACCCACCTGTCTTTCTTCTGTCATGTTTCTCCTCTTCCTAGACTGCCCTTTCTCCCTCATCTGCTCATCAAAGTATGTGTATCCTCAAGCTTGGTTCCAACTTTTTCCATAAAAGCTTCCTGATCCACAACCTTTCCTGTTTCAAACCCTCATAGTACTTTGTGTATAGCCAGCATGAGACAACACATTCCACCTTTGATAGGCAGATGGGACTGACACACCCCCAGGAATTTTATCTTATTGATCCTCATCTCTACTGTAGAACCTTTGCATGTGCTTAGCACAAAGAGGCATTTAATGAATGCACATTGAATTGGACAGGTCTCCCTGACTCCATTCTCTTTCCTTGCCATTAGCTCACTTAAATGATCATTTAATAATGATGGCACTTTATTTTTACCTTACATTAAAGGTTACAAAACTCTTTCACATGTGCTTTCAACTGATTTTCATGAACAGTCCTGTGAGACAGGAAGGATAGCTATTATTCCCATTTTATAGGTAAGAGAACTGAGGCGCACAGAGGGAAATAAGTTGGCCAAACTATAAACAAATAAGGAATGTAGCCATTAATTGAACTCAGAGAAGCATCCTGATAGGCAGAAGACCAAAGAAAGGAGCCAGTGAAGTCCAAGCCCTCCCAAGGATCCAGAAGGATCCAACTTTATTCAGCTTGATGAGACATTCTAAGCCAGCCAGGGGCACCTTGTATGAGGGATATCATCAGGGAGTTGGGCAGGAGGCACTGTGTGATTGCATGATTATTTTGAATTTGTTGCTATTTTTTCCTTCTTTCAGCCCCAGACAGGGATATCATTATGTGAGTACCAGGAACCCCTGCACTCCCTCTTCCCGCCCAGGCCTCCTTTCAATCTGAACACTCAGTAGATTCTTGCTGCCCCTTGCACATCAGGCAAACTCTTGCAGAACTATATCTGAAACCACTCACGTGGTGCTCATGGGATTTGGGCCGAATTTTCCCCCTTCTCTCACCCTCAAAATGATCGCTCATTTACTAGCTCATTCATTCATTCATTCATTCACCTATCCACCCACCCATCCATTATCCAACAAACTTTCTTTGAGTACCAGATCTATGCACTACCATGTATTCCACCTTCCAAGACTCGTTCTGGCTCTTTAGTTCCAGGCAGAAGAGTCCTGCTAAGGTACCAGAAGGCTGTTTTCTTTTCCAGGCAATGCTTGTGCATTTTAATAGTCGGCTTCACCAAGAGAACATGCAGGCTTTATGCAAGAATGTTGGAGGTTGAAGGTATTATTGGATAAAAAGGGTCTTTTCCAAACAGACCTCATATAGGACTTGTGGGGCAGTAACCTCCAATTTCTTACTCCCCAAGGTCACACTCTCCCTTTGTTCTTCAATGCCATTGAGAGTGACATGCCAGTTTATAGCTACCCTTCCCAATAATGTTAGTACAAGTTGTGTTGCAGATGTTCTTTGTAGCTTTTCCTTACCAGAACTCAGCTTGGAGGCTCTGCCTGGATGCTGCCAGTATTTAAACTCAGAGTTTGAAGTGAATGCATGTGGCAGGAGAAACCCTTGGGTTTTGATTACATTCAGGATTGTTAATTTACTTGGAAAAATAAGAAAGTTCCAGAGCACAAATGCATGCTTGGTTGCAGAAATGTTAGGAATCGGTGTCTCATCCCTCCTCTCCCATCCTTACTTTTTTGCCTTGAATAGGTCCTGGCTGAGTTGCAGGGAGACTTCTGGGATCCCTATAACCATAAAGCCCTTGGGGCTAGCACTCCCTAGCCATCCCTTCCCCACTATTGGCAGTCTGAATGAAATAAAGGGGCTGTTGGTTAATCTCAAAACCTAACAGAGAGCCTTGCCTGGCAAAGGCAGGCTGGTTGGTGAGGAAGATTGTGTGGCACGTGAAGACAAGCGGATGCTTCTCAGGATCAAAGTATGTGAAAGTCTGTAAATACTTCTTCCTTCTCACTCGGCAAATAGAATCCCTGAGATCAATTGCCTCTTTCTTTTTAGGTGGTAAAATATTTCTCTCCACAAATTTTCCCTTGCCACTTTTATTCTATCACTTAAATCACAGTATATGTTCTAGAGGTTTTAAAATGCCAGAATATTTGAATCAATACTCTCATTTCAGTGTCTTTCAATACACAGAGCCACATGGAGTGATATGATACACAGTAAAGAATCCATTTATTTGTTTCCCTCCCCCCAGGTTTAGCAAAATAACTCAGATCCTGATTTCCTTTAACTCGCCAAAAATGTCACCCTCCAGAGTTCAGAGACCTTCAGAGCTCCAAGGCCAGCTTCAGTGCAGGTCCAGTTCATATGTGCTTTTGCTTATAGTCAGCAGCTTGCTGCAGGGCTGGCTCAATGTATGTTTTTATCAATACATACAGTATAAAATTTTCTCTTACTATGTGAAAGTTTAATTGGAATAGAAGAATAAATGAGGATTGTTTTTGAAAAATTAGAAGGTGACAGTAAGTTCTCCTGGAGCAAGCTTTATGTAGTGGCTTATGATTGTGTCTGATTGCAGCTTTTCCAGTAACTCAATGACATATCTCAGAAACATGTGGCAGTTTTGAAAGGACAGGTCAATCAATCTTTTGGACTCAGCAATGAATTTTTCATAGTAATCAGAGAGTTGGTCTGGAAAATCTTGCAGTTTATACCTGAACTGCTGGTGGTAATCAGAAATGATTTCCTTCATTCTAATAGCCCAGCTTTTAATTATTTCCTGAGCCATGGTAAAAAGTTCTGTAATCTTCTCTTTCCCTTTTCCATCTTCATCAGTAAGGATGCTAAGATATTTCTGAAAATCTCTGTGCACAAATTGCTCTATTTGACATGAAAGTTGGGAAGTAAGGTCAGCAGCTCTGATGGTGTATTTGGAATGTAAGTCCTTAAGGGCAACTACTAGGTTCTTGATCAGGTTGACAATTTTTTCTTCAAGTTCATAATATTTTACCGTCCAGCCAACTACACTTGGGTCAAAATATTCTTCACGAAGAGCCTTTATGTACTGATGAATCTTCTGTAACTCTTGAGAAGCTTCCTGAAGTTTGTTCTGAACAAATCCATTGAATTTACCAAGGCTAAGGCATAGGTTTTTTTTCAAGAACCTAAAAACATATAAAATATGTTCACTGAAGATTGTGTTGAGCTCATGTTGGATATCATTAATGAGAGAAGTAAGTTTCTTCTCCTTTAAATGTATAATTTCTCCTTCTATCTCTTGGAAAACTCCTTCTAAAAATCTCTGAAGATCATTTAGCATCTCTGTAATATTGACAGACTGGAGGTCCTTAAATGCCTTTTGGATATCCTGTGATAAAAATTTCAACTGTTCCCTAGATGCCAGGATTACATCTGCTAGTTTATGATTCCTTGAATCAAAAGGAAATGTAATATTTAGGTCCTTGATTAATTCAGATTTTTCCACTAACTCTTGGAAATAGGAAAGCATTATTTCTAACCCATTATGGATATTTGAATATGCCTGAGACAGTACATTCCCTGCTTCCCTCAAGACCATAGTGCAGAATTCATCTTGAGTGTATGTCCCAGCTTTCCCTGGGAACTGAAATCTGGTGAACTTCAGGAAATCAATGAATGAGTCAATCAGACTCTTGATTGTCATATGGTACTCCCGTGTAACTTGTAGAAAGCTGTCATACACCCTGTCCTTGAGTCTCTGGAGACTGGTTTGGCCCTCGTCGGCCAACAGTTCCTGGTACAGATTCTGGGTCTTATCCTTCCACTCTTGGTAGGTTCTAGTGGTACTAGTGGTTGCTCTCTGGAACCCCATGTCCATCTCATCAATTTGCCTTATGGCCCCTTGATAGACTGTCTCAGCACCGTTCTGCAGACTTCTTCTTAGTTTTGAGGAAGCATCTCTCAGGCTGAGTCCTGTGTGCTCCTTGTGGTACTTGTTGACATAGTCATAAAGGGTCCCCGTGGCCTTAGGCACGTTGTCTTTCAGAGACCTTAGCAATTCGGAAGCGGCCTCTTCTTCCCAATTAACTTTGATCTGAAAATCTTCATCAGACTCCTGGTATCTCAACTCGGTTTTGAATATGTTGAGTTTTTTATCTGGAGAAGACTAAAACCAGCAAAAACAAAAAAAGATGAAAAGATGTTTTCAATTACCCTGATTACATAATATACTACACTAAAACTTCATTTAGCAGTTAAAAAAAAAAGATCAGAAGAACTTTCATATTCTGAAGAGGATTTATCTTTCATATGTCAGTTCATGTGTTTGTTTTATGGTTAAACAACTTCACTGTTGTTAATTCCTCTTTATCGCATGCCCCAGGAAGGATAAAAAAATGCATTTACACAGTGACACTTAACATTAAGACCTTCCTAGCACTGAAAATTGGAAGAGGAGGAAGAAACAATAAAAGACAAATTCAGAGAAAGAAGTAACAAAAAAGGAAAAAGTCCGGAGCCCGTCCAGCAGAGATCTAGAACACCAGTATCAGTATTCGTTATGACAAACATCAGTAATAGAACTAGATTGGGTCTTCTCCTCTGCTAATGGCATCTTTGACTGGGCCCTGGCATAGCTCGTAAACGTGAGAGGAATTTGATGTATCTCATCTAACAGTTTATTTGGGGAAGAATTTTGAAGCCTCGAATACTCCAGAAACCACTATTTGAAAAACGTACTCTGCATACGGCTGAATTTGCCCATGATTTAGGTGATGAGGCAAAACTCTCATCTTTCTAGATTTTCCCAGAAATAATAAAATAATAGTGCTAATCTGACATCATATGTGCATCTAATAATTAAACTCGATAAAGGACTCTTTCTAACACTTTCTGGAGAATAGGTCCTCAGAAAAGAAGTTCAGCGTGCTCACTGTCTTTTACACAGTTTGCTAAAGTTCTGAGAGAATACTTTGTCTCGAATCCAATGTATCCACCCCAATTCTTTGCTTGCTCTTGGGGCAACCCATTAGATAGGACTCACCTGAGGGCGGTAGTAAAAGCTGCATTTTAAAATATCGTTCTTTTCTTCCAAGTCCACGCCCACAGTGCCTATGGCTGGGGAGGCTACCGAGGAGGAGAGGCTGTGCTCGTCATGTTGGTGGTTCAGACGGAGATTAGTGAACACTGGGCTGGTGACATCGAGAAGAGCCTTCATTTCCCCGTAACTGAAAGCAGAAAAGCAGATGAGCCATTATGAAAAAGGGGTCTGAGGTTGTCAAAAATCACAATGAGTTTTGAAAAGGGATAAAATTTCAATAAAAGTTCTGTACTTAAGCCCTTTATATTTGACGTCTTCTTCATATTCTGCACTGAAGTCACGGTGAGCAAGTGTCCCTTTGGTCTTACAGACTAATGTGCCATCTTCAATTTTGTGTGTTCCCACAACTGTACAGGAGAGATTTTATATTTCATTAGATTAAAAACTATAGGACATAGACATTTTCATTGTGGAAACAGAGAATTCTTTCTTCAGCAAGCATCTTACTTATATGTTTAAAGTATGCAATGTGTAGTCCACAGATGTTTTAATAAATAGTTAGAAGAAGACATTATTAGTCTTAAAATCATTGCAGAAATATCTGTTTTCTCTGAACCTACTCCTCTTGAATACCAGTAGGTTTTCTACAATTTGGTTTTTACATGTGGGGTATATATGTATCTCCTCTGTTCTTTTAAATTTTGCTAGAGAGAGTAATTGTGTTTCTAGTCATAACTAAATATATAATTACTTACAACTCTCACTGAAAACATATAGTATCTAGCAGAGAAGGCAGGACATTTCCTTACCATTTAGGTCATATTCCAGGAATTGGATGGTTGAGCTGCATGTGGAATCCAGGAATGTTTCAACATGATCTGCTTTGTTTTTCAAACCAGCACTCCAAGAGGCATTATACAGGGGAGAGGCCACCCCAAAACGTACAGTCAGTGCTCCAAAGGAAGGAATGAAAATTCCAGCAGGTACAGAGAATTGAATGGAAGGAATCTCAATAGTCTGCTCTGGTATGATGACGGTAGGCAACTCAAAGTCTGCAATCTTGTTGGCCATCTCATTTAGATCCAAGGCAGCACTGCCAACTGAAATACTTTTTGGAAGGGCGAACTGGTACACGCTTAACTGAGATTCAGGCACAGTTATCTCAAAAAAGGGAACCGAGGAGTCTTCTGGTTCAGAATATTTTGTTAACACATCAACTTCAGGGAATTTTACTTTGGGTAGTGTTAGTAGGTTGAGGGCAAATGGTGAAGTACTTAGCTTCTTATAAATTTTTATTTCACTGAAGTCGAGTTCGTAGGATGGAACCTGAAGATCCGTAAATGGGACTGGGAATGTAGGTGTGACAAGAACTGGCTTTGGATCACTCAGTTTTAGCCCAGGGATAATGAATTTATCAGACAATTCTTGCACAGGAAGAGAGAAAAGATAGCCATTGGGGTTTTTGGTGTACACAAGGGCAGTTGAAGCATTAAGATACTGTCTCCTGCCAGGGATGGTGGTTACATCCAGCTTTAGGAGGTCCCATAAGCTCTTGTCATAAACTGGTAGGACATTATAACTGAGGAAACTTAGGTTTCCTTCTAAGGATCCTGCAATGTCAAGGCGTGCCTCTTCTTGGTCATTGGAAAGCTGCACATTGTTCTGGAGAGACCCAGAATTAACCTGGACCTCACTTTTCCAGCTGACCTTTTGGTTTTTAGTGTTAGCATTCAGGGCCACTTCCTGGCCAAGGTAAGAGATACCAAGAGGGGATTGGGGTTGACTGGCATGGACCTGAACGAGGGCTGACATCTTCCACGGGGAGAGTTCCAGGGTGGCTCTGCTTGTATGTTCTCCACGTGTGGAAAAGAGATCCTGCAGCTGAAAGCTGTTTTTCGTATTGTGTTCCCAGACAGCATATATGCGTCGGAGAGTGGCTTCTCCAGCAAAATTTTCTGTTACCTCAAGGTTCCATATATGATCAACTTTGGAAGCCCCTTGCAGCTTCACTGAAGACCGAGTGCCCTTGGAATTCAAATAAGTGTTGGCCTCACTGGTAATTGTTCCTGAATATCCCTGTGAAAGGACTGAACCCTTGATACCGCCTTTTGTAGATGACTCGATGGAAAAGTAAGAGGTGAGGCTTTCTAAACTGAACTTGTGGTCAACTGCCCCTTTTGCAGTGGAGTACAGCGCTGTGGAATTGAAGTCATACTTTAACTGAACAGATGAAGAGACAGTAGGTTTTGACTTGGTATTTCCACTAAGTTCTTGCTTGAAGCTCATCCTCAGAATTGGAATTTGGACTTTTGCAGTTGTTGTCATGGATGCTTCCATGTTTTTCTTGGTTAAGCTAATGGTACTATCATGACTGCCTTCCACCAATTCATTACTCAGAGACAGAGCTGTGGCTAACTTCAACCCTCTCTTCCTCGTCAAACTTGAGGTGCCCTCTAACTTGTACTGCAGCGCATCAACGGTGGATGAGGAAGAAGAAAGAAAATGAGCAACAATATCTGATTGGTTATAAAGTCCAGCATTGGTGTTCAGTGTGATGACACTTGATTTAAAAGAAAAATCATAGGTAATATTGCCCATGGCTGGAATAAAAATATTGTTTACAGCACTCAATTCCTTGAAATCTGGAAGAGAAAGCTTGTGAAGATTCCAAGGGACATGAAGGGTCGGCAGCTCTAGGGATGGCAGGACTAATGTGTATGAAGGCACATAGGAACCAGAACCCAGGATGGTGACATTAGGAGTGCTGATCGCTTCTGGGATCACATGGCCGAATGTTGACATCTCTATAGTGAATGGAGACACTTCAATGTTGACGACTGGAATAGTGTATCCAGGAATTTGAAAGGTCCTTGGGAACTTGTTGAGGGATTTTTCAGCTCTGTATGTATCAAACTTAATTTTTGTTTCATTATAGGAACTGGGGAGAAAATCTAATGCATTGTCTCTGACTTTCTCCAAATGCCTATTAAAGGAATTGATGTTCTGACTGATAAACTTATAAAACACACCCAAAGGAATTGCGATGGAATGCTTGTCTTTGTTTTTCTTATACTGAGCCTTTATGCTCAAATCAAATGATTGCTTTGTTGTTTTCAGAAATTCCTTTAAGCCTGTTTTTTCCCATAAGGAGAAATCTTTCAGTGGGGGAGTTGTGAGTGTTGTGTAAGGTAGGGTCATTTCAGGAATTGTTAAAGGAATGTTTAAGAAATCCAGGTTGGCTTCTCCATTTATTCCTACATGAGCCTCGATGCTGTTCTCACTGTTTCCAGCAGAGAAATGTTGATTGTACTTGTACTGGTTGAACCTAGCACCTGCTTGCCAACTTGCTTGCTGGGCACTAGGCCTCAGAAGCAGTGCATAGTTATTCAGGAAGTCTATCTTCCCTGTCAATTTTAATGGAAAACTAACTTTCAAATTTCCTTCATTATTTGTGGATGCAGTAATCTCAAATGGCTGTGCTGAAAAGAAAAGAGAATTTTTCAAAGTTCCAATAACTTTTCCATTTAAATGAGCACTGTGGTTGCCCGTTATCTCCACCTTCCCTTCTCCAGGCAGTGCTGTGCCTATAGCAGTTAGAACGCTGCGACCCACATGCTGGGATTCAACTTGTGACTGAATTTCAAATTTAGAAAAGTTGGGAAAGCCAGATTTATAAACCAAGTTTTGGTTTACTCTTAGGTGTTTGCTATTGATCTTATTAGATAATCCAGCGGAAGTGATGGGTCCTTCCACAGTGAAGCTAATTTGTGATTCATGTGTTCCCTCATCTGAGAATTTGGGGCAAGCCCATTTCCATGACCCCGTTCCAGAAGAAGTCCATGCTATGTGGCCAACTTCCAACAGTGTCTTCATTTCATTGCGCAGGTCAGCCTGACTAGAGAAGTCCAATTTGGGGATGTTCAATTTGTGAAAGTACTTTGTGTTGCTGTCCAGGGTAAGTTGATTGTTCATCTTGACAATCACACCATTACTAAGCTCCAGTGTATTTTTTTCTGTGTGTATACTTGCCACTGTATCTGATTTTCCCTCAATAGCATTTCCAAAAAATAGCATTTCACTTTCATGCTCTGTTCTCAGGTATTTGTTGGAGAACTTCACAGATTCCTTCAGAATCAGTGGATTAATCTTAGGGTCTGAAAGTTGTACATTTTCTTGAAAACCAAAATTGAGAACTTCTAACTTGGACTCTCCTTTGGCAGGAACGGAAGCTGCCATCTCTGCTTTGCTCACGGTTGCATTCTGTATAGCAGCATTTGCATCTAAAGTGAAGAAGGGAGACTGGACTTTCAAAACACTATACAGCTTGCCAAAAGTTGGTACTTCGATTGTGTGTGAGATGTGGGGAAGCTGGAATTCTGGTATGTGAAGGTCAGGAACTTGAAAATCTTGAAGGTTGAGATTTGGAATTACAAATTCTGGAATTGTGATTTCTGGTAAATGGAAGTTTGGCAGAGTGATTCTAGCAAGAAGGATGTCCTCTATCTTCAGATCCCTCATATACACTTCTGGAACTGGCCACTGCAGCTTGCTGTGCAACATTTGGTCAATGGTTCTGATGATTTTTACTTTTATTTCTATTAAGTCAATTGTAAAGGAAGGAATGTGGAAGGTGTGGAGGACAGTGAATTCTGGCGTGGAAAACCTGGATGGGATTTTTATATCCTTCAACTCTTTAAAGTTTATCTGAGTTGATGGAATCCTCAAGTCTGTCAGGGGGACTATGAAGTCAGGAGTCTGGAAGGAAGCCTCCTGAAGGGCACGAAGACTGACTTCAAAGGCAGGCATGGTCCCGAGGATTGTCTGGATTTCAGGAACAATGAACCCTTGTTCTACTAATGCTTTCATCTTTTCAGCCCAGTCTGGGATAGAGTACTGCTCTGCAAAGTCAGTAAGGTTCTTGGCAGCAAGACTCCACCAGTCAGAAATGTAGGTGACAAGTGTGCTGTAAACCTGGCCCAACAGGGACAGGCATCGTTCAAGTTCCTGCTGAATATCCATTTGGTATATTCGGTCTCGTATATCTTCTAGGGTCTCTCGGAATTTGGCTTTCATGTGAATCAAAGATTCTGAACTTAAATCATCCTGTAGCCAATCTATGATTAATGTTATTTTGGTGTCATTTAGGCTTTCCAGACAGGCTGAGACTATGGCCTTGACATCCTCTATGAATAGTTTTAGGGCTTCAACTTTCTGTGGTAGTTCCAGAGCCTGTAGTTTACCATTGATTCTCTGAGTCACCTCACGGATTTTGCTATTGGTTTCATGTACAAACTGGTGGTAATCAAATGACTTTAATTTCTTTACCAACATGTCTAGGAATCTATTTACTTCTTCAATGAATTTTTTAAAAGACAGTGCTTCAAGCTGCTTGACAGTATCATCAATAAACCCAACCAATTTCTTAAAGTAATCTTTTATCTCAACTCTTTGTAGGACATTGCTTAGCTTCTGAATAGTCTCCTTCATCTTGTATTGGTGGGCCAACTCTACTGATTTCTCCATTAAAATCTGGATTTGTTGGTCTACTTTATATACCTTAATTAACTTATGAACTATGGCTCTAAAAGCATTGATTTTCTCTGTTACTTCAAAATCGTCAATCAGATTTATAACAAAGTACTTGATATGCTCAATAATTTTCTCTATTATTTGAAATGGAATTGCAGCTCTCAATTGATCTAAAAGCACTCTGACATCAATAGCTTCAACCTGTTGTTTTAACTTTCCAGCAAGCTGCTGGATATCCATATTCTGAATCTGTGTCTTAAGCTGTTGCAATTTTTCTTGTACCTGGATTCTGATTTGATAGTTAGTATCTACATTTTGAATCCAAGATGCAGCACTACTTCCAATTTTGTTAAAATCAATTTTCTCCATAAACAAATACAGATCATGAATTATTTTTACTAAATTTACACGAAGATGATAATGTTCATCAAGAATTTTTAATTTTTCAATGATTTGATCAATAATCTTAGCAATAGCTGTTTTAAAATCATGTATATCATAATTATCTTTAATATACTGATCAAATTGTATCACATATGTCTGCAGTTGAGATAGTTTTTCATTAAAGTTGATTTTAGCATTATCCAACGAAATTTGTAGATCATTTTCTGTAATTCTATATTTTTTTGTAAAAGCATTTAGTTTCTCCTTGGCACTTGAAACTTGCCTCTCCCAATCAAATGAATTAAGATAATCATTAACTTGCTGTGGGAGTTTGCCAAGAGCTGCTCTGTATTTCCTCACAAACTGATCAATACTGATGCGTTTCAATACTCTCTGTATGGTTTCCAGCGCAGTTAGGATTACTCTTCGATTTCTCTCAAAATATTCTGGCAGGGTTTGAAAGAATGGGAGGTTGATGGTGTGAATATCCTGGTTCTTATCATACTTTATAAAAGCAACCATTGTGAATTCTTGGGGCTTATCAACAGAATCTCTCATCTCTAATGTATCAATGACATTGATGGGCTCGCGGAGTAAAAATGGCACTTTAATTGGGGAGTCCAGCACAGTGAGGTCAGCCAGGGCTCGTCCACTGAGCTCCACACCGATTTTGTCTTTAGTGTTGTAAGCGACAAAGTCTTGGCTGTATTTGTTGTTGTTCAATTGGGTCGTAAGTTTCCAGGTGCCTGTCTGCTCAGCCGGAGTAAGCAGGGCGCTGGCTTTGTGATCAAGAGTCATGCTGATGCTTTTCCTGGACTTGAGATGGTGACTTGTGGATCCTTTGTAATCATGAGAGAAAGTAAAGGCCAAAGGTTCTGCTTTCAATAGGAATTTGCTATATAGCTGCCCAGTATGTTCTCCCCAGAGAACCAGTTTCCCATTGCCATTCGTATGTGCATCAATGGTCATGGTAAATGGGGCCATTACAGAGCGGAAAACATTGCTGAAGTGCAGTGAGTCTGAATTATAGCTTGTACTGATGTCAACGGCTGAAGCCAGTCCAGCAATGTCTGCGTTGAGCCGGTGGCTAAACTCCATACCCTGAGCCTTAGCTACAGTGTCTGCTTTATAACTTGCTGATAAGTCAGCATAAGAAATGGTGTAGATGTGTTTTATTTCATTATTTTGGTAGGCTCCCTTTAGGTTACCCCCCACATTCAGCTTCAGGGGTTCTAGTCGTAATTTCCCATTGTTGGTCAGATCCAGAGCATTGTATTTCATGTCATTGTTTAAAGTAGTGACAAGAGAATAGGGCTGTAGCTGTAAATTAAAATTTTGCTTATAAAACTTGTCAGAGCTGTAAACGTTGTCAAGTTTCGAAGAGAAGTCCAGTGATAGACCTGCAATGTTCAGACTGTTTGTGTAGTCTAGTTTCATCTCAGCATATGAGCCCATCATGTCACTTGAGAGTTTAAGTCCTTCTTGGTTGATTTTGAAGTTGAAAATGTTTTTGCTGTCAACACCCAAAATCATGGCCTGATAAGCACTTCCCAATGACACCTCCGTGAGGGCAGCTTTCCCATCTAGACTGAATTTTGCATGGTGTTCCCCAAAGCGGCCATTTGTTGTTAATTTCATAGATGCCCCAGAGAGGCCAAGCTCCCCATTCAGCTCATTCTCCAGCACCAGGGGACTATACTTCAAATTGGTCGTTGTGCTGGTGGATATTCCGTCTTTGGCAATCCTTAGTGTTGCCTTGTGAGCACCACTATTAATTTTGTCAGTGCCCAGGATGTCAGCATTTAATTCAAGACCACGGGAATTTAGTGATCCAGAAAGCAGAGTGAAGAACCTCAATGACTTGTAATCAGCCTGATACTCAGAACGTAGCAATGCATTTTGCTTAGAGAAGGTCAGATCCACCTTGCTAGAAGTGGCAAAGTCCTTGTGCTTCCCATTGGTATCAGATTTCAAAGTCAGCTCATAGTTTTCATATTTCAGGGAAGCAATATTTTTAATAAGGCCCCCTTGCAGATCAGAAGTAGAGGTGAGGGAGAGGGTTCCATCTTCATATCTTCCCACTATCTGGTTGGTGCCCTGGAGGTAGGAAGAGTTAAACCTCAGGTTTGACTCTCCACTTAGCTGTCCGGTGGTAGGATTCTTCTGATAAGACAGGCCATATGTGCCTTTAGCATAGAATGAAGAGACGCTGAACTGCCCATCGATCTTGACTTCTTTGACATACAAATGCTGTTTCTTTTTTGAGTCCAAATGGACTGAAGCAGACATCTGTGTTCCCCAGACACTAGCTGCATTGAATATTAGTGAACCTTTCGAGGCTGGGCTGTTTCCAACTTTTTCTACATGACTGAATTTGATATTTGAATTTAGAAATTTGTGGCGTAGAGACCCATTACATGATAATGTGAGTGTATTCCTGTGGTCATATGTTGTTTCTCCAGATCCTAACATAAAAATGAAAGACATTGGTTAAATTGAGTAATACATTTCCAGAACAATCTCTATGTTGAAAGTCTTTCAATAATAAAGTCCCATTTATCTGGGTCAGTTGTGGAGTAGTCTCCTCCATCGATAATGCAGAAACAAAATCTGATAGCAAAAGGAATTCCTCCAGGATGCCTTCCCTGACCATCACAGACCTTTCTAGTTTCCCTTCTTAAGTACTTCTACTGTACATTATATACTTGTTGGGAGCCTGTAGCCCCACACCCCTCCTTGTGTGGCCGTGCCTGCGTGACAACCTGCTTGCGCCAGATGGCCATGCTTACGTGATAACTGCCTCGTAATCTGTTTGTGTCTGGAGCTCTGTGTTCCTGGCTATGCAAGTTTACTCAAGGGTGATCTTTCATCTTCTTTCAAGTTTCTGCTTTGGGGGCTGCACTACGTCAGGAATGTCCTGTCTTTGTTTCCTCTCAAGATCTTATCGTATTCCTGCCTTCCTGACTCCTTACAATATGCCTGCTTTTTCCTATATAAGATGTAACCTTAGAGCCAGTAAACGAGACTTGATCAGAATACTGTCTTGTCTCCATTTCTCTTGTCTCTTGCCCCATCTAATTCCCACTCCCCTCTCCAGGTCTATGTTGCTGTTCCCGTGGGTCGGGACATATACTTACATACTACGTCCTATCATAGGACCTCTCACACTGATTTATAATTGCTGGTCTATCTGTCTGATCTCTCTGTTACTGTCTAGTAGAATATTTAATGCATATTGTATGTTTAATAAATATTTCTATTGGTAGAATAAATGAAAAGACGTCCAAGTAGCAAGCAAAATATCTGTAAGAAAGTTCAAGTTCTTTCCTTCCACCAAGAGACTCTCCTATCAGAGCCTGAAGTGAATTATCCCTGTGCACCCTTTACCTGAGCATGGCTCACCTTGCACACTGTAGGAGAGTAGGTCAACCACAGAGTCAGCCTTCATATGATACTGAGCCTGAAGGCTGAAGTGGTCTGTGCTGGTGTTGCCGCCAGTGTACGAGGCGGACCAGTTGTACAAGTTGCTGTAGACATTCGTGGAGAGGTCTAGAACACCCAAGAGAGGCACTTGCAGTTGATACAACTTGGGAACAGTAAAAGTGGGGACTTGGAACTCTTGAGATGGAAGGCGGAATCCCACAGACGGGAAGTTGAGGGCTGGTGTCCTAACAGTCTCTAACATCTTTAGATCTTTGGAGGATTTGCCACCAAAAGGCAAAGGAATTTCAATTTTCACACTGTTCTTGTTTAAGGTATATTTGACCCGGCCATCACTGAAATGAACAACAGAGACAATGTCCACACAGTCAAACATTAAGAAGTCAAAAGTTCTCTGCCATCTGGCCTTCCAAGCAATATTGCATCTGCCCCATTCCCAAACCCACTCTGTACTTTGCCCCATGCTGCTCCATATACCTGGATCCCTTTGCTTTTATCTCTACCTACAAAATACTCAAACCTTTTCAAAACTCTTCCAAGAGCCGCTCCTCATCGTTTTCATCCCACCCAAGTCATAGCTAATTTCTTTCATTCTCATAGTGACATAGCCCCTTATACCTGTCTCAAAAAGCATGTCATAATTCTGCTAATATAATTAGTTATTTGTTCATTTGTTGGCATCTACATGGTATCTTCCTGAGAGGAAAGACTACACCTTATCTAGCTTTCATCTTCTCACCGCACCTAGTCTAGTATTATACAGACAAGGAATACTTGACATATTTGCTAAACTAAATTGAAGCAACTTGCTATATGGAAAGAACACAGGTGTGGGAGTCAGTAAACTTAGGTTATAGTTTTATGTTCCACTAATTGATAATGTTGGTGAATTAACCTCCCTGAGTTTCAGTGATGTTATCTGTATAGTGGGGATGGTAGTACCTTTTCTGCTGAACTCATAGAGATGGCCTTGGATATTACATGAAAAAAATACACAAAGCACATTGCAATCTTTTCAATACTATGCATATAGAATGGACGATTTAGATAACTTATAAAAATAAAGTAGGACAGCAGGGTTTAATTGTTATAAACACTTAAACTGTTAATTGTATCACTCCATAGGGGCTGGATGTGGTCCACTCAGGATCCCGATCTTCAGTAGGAGGATGATTGACAACCACTAAGGCCCTGTCCAGTTCTGTCCCATGGCTCTGTATCTTCAGCACAGCACAGAGGACACTTTGTCAGAAACACCAATAGTATTCCCAGGTCCTCTGAAGCTGCTGCTGTTTTCTCTCACCCTCAGTAGGCTTTGTCCATATGAATGGGACAAAGGGGCTTTGGCCCCTTCACAATAAGCCCATCTATTAAAGCTTCTTAGCCCTAGACTAAGCCCTTGTGACACAGGCCACTTGTTTTTTAACCCTGAAGATAATAGAGAGAACAATCTGGAAAAGACTATAGCCTTTTCAGTTCATGCTTTGATATTTTATTTTTATGAAATAAAGCAATCAAGGCATTACATGTATTTTTATAAGTATAGAAATGGACCGAGCAGTTTAGAATCTGACTTCCCCATAAGGGTTAAGCTACACTGATCAACTGAAATATGCTCTTAGAACGCTGCTTTCATTCAATGCTCGATGGCTGTTCTGACCCTCTGTAGCTCAGCAACAAGCTCGTAGTCAATCACTCCTCCCCTCAGCTGCTGTGAATTCACAGTCAAACAATTCTGAGTATATCCCCATCTGGAACAAAACAGGTATTTGCTTACAATGGAAAAAAGTTGAACGGCTTTCAAATTCAGATTGTAATGAATAAAATGTCTGAGGGTGAAAGTACCAGAAGTTCCTAATTACTTTCTTAGGGTCTTTCTGACTGGATTGGCATTCACATTCTGACCTCATGTTTAATAATGTAAAAATGCCACAGTGTTTATGCTACAGTTATTAATCTCCTTAAAATGCTTAAGTTATTGCCCTTAAAAATTTAAATTAAAAAAGTATAAATCATGCTAAGTAAAATCTTCCATTTACTTTGCATAGTTCAAGAAACATTTCTGGCATCTTCTTTTACCTTTTTAAGAAGAGGTTTTCTGGGATGTGGAAGTCTGGCAACCCCATTTTCTGGAGGTTCAACTCCTGTAGGCCACTGAGGTGATCTTGCAAGGTCTGGGCATAAGGGAAACTCTCGGATGCCTTCTGAAGCCATGTGTTTGTTGCCTACAAAATGATAGAAGGTTTTTAGAGTAATGGGCATGGCTGAGCCTCAAAGTGCAATTAACATTAGGTGATAATCCAGATTTGACAGGTCAATTTTTAAGCAGGATGATACACTGAAAGTTAAAGTTAAATCACAGAAAATTATGAATTTTGGCTGCTGGTTACTGCTCTCTTCCTGTATTTATAAAAGGCATGTATAACACAGACTCCTAGCCAGTGTCCTGAAGCTTCCTTCGATATCTTTAGGCACAGCAAACTCTTCTGCTTAGTGGTATTCATTTGGTATTCATCACATACACCTTTTGTACCAGGGTACCAGGGTAACTGAGTACAGCATGAATGTTTCTTTTCTTCTCAGGAATTTGCTAGGGGCAGGAAGCATATTATTTACATTTTTGGATACCCTCCTGCACCTAACTCAGAGCTGAGGATATAATTTGCACTTACAACCATGTATTTGTTGGCTGGCTGACTTATACTTACAACTATGACTTTGGAACCCATATGCCGGAAAGTCATGTCTGTTTGGGGAACTCTGTGATCCAAGACACTGTTGGCATACTCTTGCAAGCTTCTAGGATAACCAGAGAGATCCACAGGAAAATTGGAAGCCACTTTTTTGGTGTTCACATTGGTACCTGTGTTCCATTCAAATTCAATCTTCTCCTCATCTGAAAATGCACATGTGAAATAACCATCAGTGGTACTCAGTCAGCTGGTAACCACAGATCTCAACATCTGTGCTCAAGTACGCAGTGCTCTCAGAAGTGCTCGTGTGTGGGCAGAGGCACGTACCATAACGCCATGCCACCCTCTTGGAAATTGTTGAGCCATAAGCTGTCGCAGATGAGTCCATTTGGAGCAGGAGTTTTGTGGGGGACCACTGTGTGTGGATCTCACTTCTGGCTTCTGCTTGCAAACGGGGTATGGAAATAACACCTTTGACTGTGCTGTCTTCCTTCTTGTCACAACTATTGGAAAGGAAATTAGTTGGCATCAATGACTTTCTCCGTTCCAAGGAGATATGCAGGGTTAAATAATTAGAAGTCCCATTTATGGTGATAAAAGTGAGATGCATGGATGGCTCAGAGAAATGACCACAGATCAAACTCATTAACTTCTAAAGCCAACATTCAGCACAAATTCAGAACTTTGCAGGGAGATATGTGGGGAAGAAAAGGTTTTGGAAAACTGTTTGAATCCTGCTCAGCTATTTACTAGCTCTATGGCCTTGGCCAAATGACTTAACTCCTCTGAGATACCATTTCTTATATATAAAACTGGGAAACTCATACCTACTTTGCAGTTTATTGTGAGGACTGAAATAATTTCTTTAAAGAACATAGCACAATGCTTGAAAATGAATAGTAAGTGCCTGATAAACGGCAGGAAGATACCCTGGACACGTGCAGAAGGTTAAAATGCTAAGGGCTCTACCGGCCACTCAGGATGGAGATCAGGGACTCACATGGCTTGGCCAGAGTTAAAGCTGAGGAGGAAGAAGGCAAAGACTCACTAGGGCCTGGGGCTCAGGTCAGATCATCCTAGGCCTTCCTTACCTTATGTGGCCCAGGAAAGTGACCTCAGTGATTTTCTTGTTCTGAATGTCCAGGGTAAGTTTGTAAGACTTTTTGTCCTCAGCAGATTCGTCACTAACTCTGAGGACTGTCCCAAGGTCAATGTCAAAATTTGGAATTTGGACTTCACTGGATAAAGTCATGCTCTGCCGATTATATTTGAACATCATAGTAGCCTCAGTCTGCTTCACGCCTGAAAGAGTGTACAAGAGAATCGAGAAATGCATGTTAAGAAGCTATGCTTAGGAAGAAAGGAGAGGAAAAGGCAAAACCCCAAGTACTCAATGTGCTTCAACGAGGACACAGTTCAGGATTTTACATCAATTTTTTTACTTAGTGGTATCCATACATTCGCTCAATCTGCAAATGTTTATTGCTTTACTGAGTGCTAGGTACTGCTCTGGGCACTGGGGAATCCTCACCCTCATGGAGCTTACCATCTAGTGGGAAGTATACAGACAAACAAACAAGTAAATTGCTTATGTCAGATGGTAATAAATGTTAAGAAGAAAAATAAAACTGGATATGAAGATAAAGGATAGAAAGGGATAGAAGAGGCACCACTTCATAGGTGGTGGTCAGAGAAGTTCTCTCTTGTGAGTGGATATGTGGGCAGAGACACATATCTGAAGATGGGCTGAGCCGTGCTGGGTTCTGGCAGGACAGCATTCCAGCAGAGGGTGGGAAATGCAAAGTGGGGAACACTCAGTGTGTTTGGGGAACAGTAAGGGCTTGATATCCTTCTGAATCAGAAAGACATGACATCTCTATATTTTCTGTCAAAGATACCTGTCCTGGTTACTTGCCAACCCTGTCCTGGGCTCCTTCTGCCCAGCTCCTTCTTTCTCCTTAACAAATTCTCTTCATTCCTTTAATTCATAGCCTTACCCATTTTATATTTTTTTAAAAATAATTTGTCTTTCAACATGCGCCCTTCCTATCCCCTAAAACCTGCTCCTCCAGTAGCATTTTCCATCTCAGTAAATGGCAACTCCATTTTTTAGTTGCTCACGTCAAAAAACAAAGAGTTGTCCTGATTCTCCTTTTCTTCTTACGCTCAACATCCACTGTCTTAGCAAATCTCATCAGCCTAATCTTCAAAATATGGCCAGAATCTGACCACTTGTCACGTCTGCTCTGCCACGTCTGCTCTGCCACCACTCTAATGCAAAGCACCCCCACCTCCTGCCAGGATTACTGCAAGGACCTACCCACTTGTTTCTCTCTACTTGTCCCCTACAGTCTTTTCTCAACAGAAACATTAATCAAAACAGGAAAACTCTCCAGTGGCTTCTTGTTTCATTCACAGGAAAATCCAAGGCTCTTACCACAGCCCACAGGACCATTCTTCCCCGACCTCCTCTTATCTCCCTGACCTCATCTTCTACCACTTTCCTTCCTGGTCTCTCTGCTTCAGCCAGACTGGCTTCCTTCTTTTTCCTCAAACACAGCAGCCACGTGCCAGCCTCAGGGCCTTGGTACCCGCTGGGCCCTTGGTCTGCAGCACTCTTTCTACATGGCTTATCCACTTACCCCCTTCAGGTTTCTTTCTGTGCTCACTTAACCAGTGAAACTTTCCATACTATTCCCAATGGCACTGCCTTTCCCCAGCCCCCCTCCTCCCCACCACTCCTAACACTCCCTACACCCCTCTATGCTCTGGGTCTTTCTTTTTCTCCCAGAGCTGACCTGAAATTCTGAATATTTATTTATTTGGTTGTTTACTGTAACCCCTATGAAGGCAGACACTTCACTGTTCACTGTTCTAGATCCAGCTCTTAGAACAGGCCTGATACTCATTGGGCCCTATCAAATTCGTTAAATACATTAAATTAATATTCTCCTTGTGAGTCCTGAACCTGAGACCAGGGGCAGAGATCGAGCAGTCCTTTTTTGTATACTCACCTTCTGCCTGAGTTACAAACTTCAGTGTGTCCACCAAGGCTCTGTCCTCTCTCTGGAGTTCGTAGGTTGCGCTGGCAGAATACTGTTCTATCTCCCCTGTAGGCTGCAGTTCCAGCTCAAATCTAAAGATGTTACAATACATACAATGCATACTATTAGAGCTTTCAATGATGGGGATAATGTCCCCAAGACAATTCAGCTTCAAGTGCAACAAAAATATGGTTCTTATTTTAAAATTGCCTATTGCCCTTAACTAATGATGATCATTACGATCCCTTCAGTCTCTCCAGGATCCTAAGGAAAGGGCAGATCCCAGGACTCCCAGGACTTTTAGACAAGCAGAGCAAGAGTCGGCTAGTTGTATCAGCAAAGCTGAGAACAAGCAATGGAAGTGGGGACTGAAGACAAGGAGCCCTTAAGCATGCGGAAGGCTGTGAGCACGTCGGTGGTTTCCAGGAAACTCAGACCAATGTGTCTGGAGGCTCAGAAACATGGTCACCGAATTAGAAGCAAATTGGAATCTGTGCTGTGATTCTCCCATCAAGGGCCTAAAGGAGAGAGAAGGGACCCCAAGGTGTTGGCCAGAGCACCACTGCTTTAAATACTCAAAGGATGTTATGGAGCCCTTAGGCTGGTGACATGGGCCCACCAGGTGGCCATAATGTGGAAGGCGAACAGGTGCTGGACTGGGCATTGAGCTTTCTAACCTCGTGTCCCCGGTCAGCGGATAGTAGGATGCAGAGTCTGTGGAGCTGGCATTGGAGTAAGCACCCGTGAAGCAGTAGTTCAGTCCAGTAAAGAAAGGCTTGCAAGTTGACCAGGACTTCCTGTTCTCGATTAGAGGTGGGATCACTTCCGTTTTGGTGGTAGAGACCAAATGCAATGTATTGCTGGTGAAGTAAGAAAAAACTCAAGTTATCTTTAAGTCATGAATCTAAACGAACATCAGTGAATCTCATGGTGCACAGGCCCCTTACTCTCCCCTCTATTTCCCTTCTGTCTGCACGCACCTCAAATTCTGATTTACCGAGAAACAAATAAGAATAGCAAGGACATCAATAGGACCAACACTCATAGTGACTCTTTTGTTTCACCCATTGCACTGAGTTCCTTACATCTGCTACCTGTAATTCCCACCACCGTAAGGCTTTAGGATCCTCATTTTACAGAGGAAACAGAGGCTCAAAGTCGTTAATTAAGTAACTGATCACTGGAACCTGAGCCTCCATGTTTTCCTTCCTTCATATAATACAGGGTAAGAGAAACCCTGTGTCTCCTTCATCTGAAATCTCTTACTCTCCCCACCAGCACTGAACGTACTCAAGTCTCTCTCCTTGTCAGCACACACCCGTGCTCACGCACACACACACACACACGTGCTCACACACATGTGCTCTCACACACACAGTGCTCTCACACACACACGTGCTCACGCACACACACACACGTGCTCACACACACACACGTGCTGTCACACACACACGTGCTCATGCACACACACACACGTGCTCTCACACACACGTGCTCACGCACACATGTGCTCATGCACACACACATGTGCTCACACACACGTGCTCTCTCACACACACACACACACGTGCTCACACACACTCCTTTCTTTCCCTTCTTGCCTTCTCTTGTCTCCCTCCCAGTCTAGAGCTGTCTGCCTCTGCAGCTTCCACTTCCTTTCCACGTGCTTCTCCTTGACCTGTGATATGACTACCACCCGCATCGTGCTTCTGGAAAGGCTTTCATCAACATCTCTAATCTCCTTCTTGCTCCTAAATCCAGTGGACATATTTAAGCTTTATCTTCCTTGACCTCTCACAAACATTCAGCAGAGTTGCTCACTTATGGCCAGATTAAGACATGAGAGTCCCTAACCTCTGAAGAGATCATGGTACCCTCCTCTCAAGTACGTACTTAAAAAATTAGTGAGTATAAGTTCAATGATATCTTGGTTTCTTGTGAGAATTCTTTCTCTGAAATACCGTGTTCTCTCCCTGGTATTGTTTCCCTATTCCACCACGCCTCACTGGTGGCTAGAGCCCTAACAGTGGCACTGGTCTGCTTATGGGGTGATCCATGTTGTGGCAGCTCCTTAGCTTCTATGACACTTGTGGTCTTGGTTCTCCTTCTGCTCCTCTGGTCACTCTTTCTCAATCTTTGCTATTTATCCCCCCTTTCCCTTTACATGTTTATTCTCCACATTTCTGTCCTAATCTCTCACCTCTTGCTCTATAGCAAATGCTGTTTGACCTCAACAACCTGTACAAGCTGACGATTCCCAAATGCATATCTGGAGCTCAAACCTCTTCACTGGGCTTAGACCATAGGTCCATTTGCCAGCTAGATATTTATAATTGGTTGGGTCATAGGACATCACATGCAGCATATCCCAAACTGAATTTGCTATCTTGCAACACTCCCCCTTTCCTCTTTCTTTTGCCTTCCCCCCATATCCCATCAATCACCAACTACTCATTATTCTACCCCTAGTAATTTCTACAGTCTCTTCACTCCTTTCTACCCCTGAGTCTCCTCCATGCAGGCCATTATCATCCTTGTCCTATAACATTTTAACAGGCTCCTAACTGGTCTCCCTGTCTCCAGTCATGCCTCCTTTCCACACATTTTCCACTGCGGAGTCAGAGCATTTCTTCTAAAACACCAACCTTATCTCATTTATGCTCCTCTTTTTAACTCCATTGCCTTCAGAAGAGTCCAAACTGCTTATGATGGCTTACAAGGCCGGTCACAATCTGACCCCTGCCAACCTCTCCATGTCATCTCTCGTGTTTGTTCCCTGTGCACTTTACCAGACCAAACTTCTTTCCATTCCTTGCACCATATTCTTTTTCCTTCAGGGCATTACACATGCTGTCCTCTTGCCAGGAACGCTCGTTCCTTTATCCTTCGCCTAGAGAACTCTGACAGCCCTTGGATATCAGATCAAGCATACTTGCTTCAGAAAACTTTCCCCAACTCCCACAGGCACATGATCCATAATTTCATGGTGCTCCAGTACTTCCTCTAACTCAGTCCTCACTGTATTGCTGATGCTTTATTAACTGTATATCTTCCGTGTAAACTGTAAGCCCTAAAAGGCCAGGGACCTTGTGTATCTCATTCAATATGCTGGTACCTATTAAGCAATTAAATACTATTTTTGAATGAACAAATGAATGTGTCCAAAATATGGACACTAAGGTAAATCACTGATTGAGAACATCATTGAAAATGGAACTCTCAATATGAGGCTGCATCCCATGATCAGGAGATTAAGAGTTTCATGCCGTACCCACTGAGCTAGCTACCACAAATCAGTATGTCCTTTGTATTTTTCCTGGGAAAAAAATGTTCCTTTCCCATGATGATTTCTCTAGAGCGAGTGTTTCTTCATTCTGAAGACAAACAAACAACGAAAACCCCACAACCTAATAACAACTGATTAACCAGTAGATCTTAATTAAGTCTCAATGCAGAAAGATACAGGACAATTTTGTAAAATGTGGAAAGTGGAGGAAAGGGTGATTATTTAGTGATTCTAGACTAGGTTGAAAACAGGTCATCCAGAATTTTCCCTCCCCTGTCCTCTCCTCCTTCACCAGGACCTGAGTTATCTCAACTGGCTGTGCAGAGCAGATAAATCCTGCAGATACCTTCTCAACTCTCTCTTTCAAACTGGGGAGGCAGATCTGGCTGAGAGAATTACCTGCCACTGAACAGCTTGACAGGCTTCTTTGGAGAAGGAACGATGAGCTTCAGCTGCCCAGCTTTCAGGGCGACGCGAGCCTCCAGGCCTGACTCATGGAAGAAGTTGGTGTTCATTTGGACCCCGCTCTTAGCAAAGTCTGGAATGATGATGCCCATGTTTGTGACAAACTCCACAGACACAGAGGGCTTTACCACCAGTTCAGCCTGCATCTGCAAGCCAGAAAACAACCGATTTAGGTTTGTTAAATACTCCAGTCCCCTGGCGTCAGATCAAGCATCTTTTCCCATTCCTGGCACAAACATCTCTGGATGACTCTCACCTCAGGAGACATTATGATGTTACGCTTGGAGGAAGAAAAGCAGGTTCTCAGTTCCCCAGAGCCAGACTACACTACCCAGGACCAGGAAGACCTGAGCTAACTTTACACAGAACAGGATGAAAAGATGATAGGAATACTCATAGATGGAGAGAACAGCTGAGTTCTCTTCTTACTATCCCAACTGGAGCTAGTGAGGTGGCACATTCTGGTGGAACCCCAAAGTTTTTCATAAAAATTAATGAGGTGATTCCGGTGGTGATGCACTTTGTCTTGAACTAGAAAGACATTTTAAAAATGTGCACAAAAAACCCACCCTGGAGGAAAAGAACACCCTAAGGAATCAAAAGGAAAGCAGAGTCTTACGTGGGCTAGTTCCAGTTTCACTCCAGCCTTGGTCCCGGGAGTGATGAGTCCAGATGAAGACACTTGCAGTTGTAATCCAGCTCCGGTGGGGAGCTCAAAGGCATTGTCCATGAAGATGTAGTGAAGAAACAAGTCGTTCTTTGAACCTTTCCTTATGGCCTCTCCAATCTGTAGATTCAACAAGGGAGAGCAACTAAAAGTAAGCCTCATTTAAGCAGGTATTGATAAATGCAACTTCCCATACATGGGACCATAATTCCCCCTTACCCAGAAAGGAAGGGCCTAGCATATTTTAATTTCCTCCTTTATTAATAAATTAATAAAATTATGGTGAATATTTGTACAGTGGATTACAGTTTGTCAAATACTTTCTTTCATAATCATTATATCATTTTAATATTAAAAGGAGGCTTCGGAATAGGCAGAGGAAGGTACACTTAACATTGTTTTCTAGATGAACTAGCTAAATCCTCTTAAAAGATGCAGCTGACTTTATGATTAGCTTCATTACTAAATGTTACCAATTTCTTGGGATCCAAAAATCATCTTCATTGAAATTCAAGGCAAACCTGCCTCTTCAAAGGGTTTGTACAGCTGGGATCTTACGGGAGTCTCGGCGATCCAAAGAGAGCACTGGCTAATCTCATGGGCCTCTGATAGGGCCTGGTTTACATACCATCTGGGGGATCCCCTGCAGAATGCGAGCACCATTCAGCAGCAGCTTTCCCAGCAGCTGGACGTCTTGGAGCCCAACAAAGCCCAGCTCCTCTCCCAAGATGCGGAGATAGGCTCTGGCTTCTGGGACTTCTTTGGATTCCAAATCTTTAATCAGCTTCTCAACATTGAGCATAAGCCCATTTACCATGTCCTGGAATTTTGATAACAAAGTGTCTAGTGAGGTGTCAGCACCATCAAACACCTTTAGATTCCTGATGGGGTCCTGTCTGCTGCAGCCATGACAGGCCTAAACACAAACTCAAGGTGGGACACAGAACAGATACTGTATTCAAGCTACCACCTTTTACTGAAAGATAATTACTCTGAATAGAGATGGGAAACACTGAGGTCTTGTCAGGAATAGTGGTGCTCCCAAAGCTGTTCTTAACTTGATAAAAACATAGGCATTGTAAGGAGGGTGGGGTGGGGTGGGGGATCCCTGTTCTCAACCAGGATCCTTAGGGTTATTTAAGATTAGAAGATCCTCCATCCCCAACCCCCTCCCCTATTTAGTCCTCTCTCCTTTGACTAGGGAAGAGTAAAAGGGATTTCAAGAGAAAATGTAGCTGCTATGTAAGTTGGAAAGCTTAAAAAACACTTGATCCTAGACAAATTCTTCTTGGAGATAAGAGGAATTCCATAGACAGATGCCTCAGCATTAAAGAGAGATTGACAAACCCAAAGCAGATCAAAGACCCTCAGCCTCAAGTGGAGGTCAGTAAACTAGAGGACTACGGTAAGCCACCAGTGAGCACCTAGGAATACATTCTTGCCTTACTTCTCAAACCTGAGTATGCATATAAGTCACCTGGGCTCTTGTTAAAATGCAGATTCAGATTCAGTAGATCCTGAGTGGGGCCTGAGGACCTTCCCTTCTAACAAGCTCTTATGTAGTGCCAATCATGAGGCCACACTTTGGGTAGCAAAAATTAAAGAATAAGAAATTCCAGATTATACAACCTATTTTCTTCTCCTTTAATGGGGGGCTCATTGCTAGCTTCAAAGTGGATTTTTGGTCCCATTAGCTAGTACACTGATTTGAGTGAGAGCCAAAGAAATCAGTTAATAATAATAAAAATGTTATTTAAAAACTCATAATAGTACCTGCTTATCGAACAATCAATACCAGTGTCAGGCACTGTGCTTGGCATTTGACATAACTTATTTCATTTAGTCTTAAATGACCTTGTAAGTATGAGTACTCTGGGGATCCAGAAACAGATACATATAATATAAGAAACTTGCCCAGGTGTGCACAGCTTGAAGACAGTGAGGTTAGAATTCAAATCTATGCCCCCGAGTCCACACTCTTTATCATTATATAGAGTGCCTCTAATGAGTCTGGTTCCTGGGCAAACTGAATTTCTAGGAGGCCCTTCCCTGCAGAGGATACTGGTCATTATCCCCATGTGACTGGTTAATAATAGCCACAGCTATCCCTTTAGTTACGGTAGTACCTTGATGACTTCCAGGCTTAGAAAAGAATGTTTTTGCATTGAGGCACAAAGCTTTCCTTGAGAGGATATTTAACAAATACGTACCTGCTCACGTTTATCATCTTTGGTATAGCCAAAGTGGTCCATCAAGACCTTAGAGACATGATCAGGAACTTGACCATCAACCCAATACAAAGCCTTGTTGACACTGTCTGGGAGAAATCCTTGCTTCCCAAAAAGAGCTTCCAGTGTTGGTTCAAAGCCTTTTCCTTCCAAGCCAATCTGAGAAAAGAAATTAGGCGAGACAATGCTTTGGGGTGTCTTTGCTGCATGTCAGCCTCCCATCCTCTCTTTATGTCCATTTAATTCAACAGGTATTTGATGAGTGTTCTGGGGCAGAGTCTGAGCTTAGTACTTCACAGAAGTTGTCTTATTTAAATCTTACTAGAATCTTGAAAGGCAGAATTTATTAATCGCCTTTTTCTAGAAGAGGCAGCTAAGGTTCAGAGAGGACGAATAATTAAGCCAAGGACTGAGAGTTGGGAGTGGATGCGGAGCCTGAACGAGATCTGACTAGACGGCTCATGAATTTCCTTGGATTTGGGGTTTAAGGGTTTTTCTGAGACATCTGCATTACCATTGATACTAAGAAATCATGCTTCAGGTGACCCCTAGTGGGGAGAGGGGAGGTGAGGCAGGAGGGAAAGAAGAAGGCCTCAAGGTGGTGGCACGAACTCCTGACGATTCCTGTTCCTCCCCAGGCTGGCTCCCGGCTCCCAGGACTTTCTATTCATGGTGTCGTACAGAATGGTCTAGAGAACTCAAGACTCTTCACACATACCTCAAAGAGGTCAGCAGGAGCCAGTCCAAAGACAGTGAGGGTAGTTTTCAACATGCTTTCTTTAGGAAGGTAATTATTTGAATCAAATATGAGATTCCCTTCGATTTTGGCTGAGACCGTGTCGAGCGATGGAAGAGAAACAGATTTGGAAAGGTGATAGTTCCGGGAAAATCTTCTGAAGTCCATGAGAGTTGGGAGTTGAGATTCTTTCAGAGCTTCCTTCACCAACGTTTGCACACTAGATGAAAAGAAGCATGTATTTTGAGCCGACCCACCATGTGACTTACCCATTGTTTCTCAGATACCAAGTAAACATGGGTTTCCAATCACTACCAACATATTTGGGTTTCATTTGCCCCCAGACTTTGGCACAGGGTCTGCTGCACATTTGCACAAATGTTTGTTCCAGAAGAAAGCACACTCCCTAAAGGGCAGGCAGTGTCTATAGCAGAATCAAGGCTTGGAATCCCAGCCCGGGCCCTCAGTGCAGAGATTATCTTACTTACTACTGGACAGACAATTCTTCTGAGTTCAGGATATTGGCAATGTGGGAAGCCACAAAGTTCTTCACTTGACCATTCTGTTCCCGTGGGAGAAGTTGGACAATATTGTTGATCTCTGTCTGGGAGGGATCCCTCATCAGCATGAGATAGGCAGCCAGCCGCTTCTCCACTGGAGATGCACTATCGAGGACAGTCCAAAGAAGCACCCTCCGGGTCTGCAGCCAAAAGAGGAGACCATTATCACCATCCTTTGGGAGGAACACAGAATGTGCCTGGCCAACACTGGCAAGGTCTGCTAGCTCTTTCTTATGGGCAAGTCTAATTCCTCATTAACAACTCTTCAAATGCTGGTATTGAGTTTTCTTGCCAGGGTTTCCTAGAGTGCTATCAAGGTAGGTTTCCCAGAAGACTCCTATCGAACATGTGTTGAATTTAATTGTACTAAAATTCACAAATTATGGCCAAGTTATGACTTGTCTGGTGATCTGCCACTAAGTGAAAATAAAGTTGTTTTAATGTAAAAATTCAATGTGTGGGTAAATGTGAGAAGGAATGGTGAGAGTTTGGGGCTAATAAATAAGGAAATTTCCAAAGCTCTTGGGTCATGGCCACTTAAGGTGGGGCCAGGTTGATTATCCTAGTCTGGGGATCTTGGGGGAAATCAAACATTTTTTCCCAAGATGAGAGTGATGGTCAGTCTGGCAGGAGAATGGCATGTAGTGAAAACCTCATGTTCTGCATGCTGGAGTAGCAGCAAGGTCAAATATTTCTCTCATGTTCACATACTGCTAGGTAGTCAAGTCAACAGGCTTGTTGAAATTCACAATCAGAAAACAGTAGAATACAGTGAGCAGAGTGATGAGGCTTAGGATTTCATTCCCCTAGTACTTCCCAAATCCTTGCTAATCTGGAGACACTGTCACGTTCAGGCCTCTTCTGTGGACTTCACCTCATCTCGAAGTTCCATTTTCCGCAGGGCCTGGATGGCAGCTTTCTGAATCAGCAGTGATGGCTTTGTGCTTGTGATACATTTCAGGACTGCAGGCTGGAGTTTTGGAGTTATGTGTTCCATGACTCGGCCCATATTTCCTATGACCTGAATTGAAGACAAGAAACAAGAGCTCATCAGGGTGCAGAGGTAGACGTAAGGGGTGTCCAGGAAAAGTGTTTCCAAAATGATGCCTATTACAGAAAAGACTGAAAGTACCCTCAGAATCAAGTAGGTGTGATCTTCATCCCCAGTGCAGTCATTCTGAATCTGTTCCAACAGGTAATCCTCAATGTCTAGCATGGTCCGTGTCACTGTAGAGGTTGTCTTATGATAGCTACAGAATAAGAGAAGGGAGTTACGACTTAGTAAGCATAGTTAAGCTTACCTTAAAATCGAAGCTTCTATCGTTGTGTAGTATATGCAACTACTGTAACAACACACTATACCCCACAAATATATACAAGTAAATATTAAAAAATAAAAATAAAAATAAATATTTTAATTAAAACATATCCCAACTTGTGTTTGCTGATTTCTTATTTAAAATCATTACTTTCAATCTTTTTTTTTTTTTTTTCTTTTTGGTGGCTGGTTGGTACAGGGATTGAACCCTAGACCTTGGTACTATCAGCACCATGTTCTAACCAACTAAGCTAACTGGCCATCTCTCAAATCATTACTCTCAAAATGATCAAAAAGGAACAAAAGAGAAAGCATCAAAGTCTGAAAGTAGAGGAAGGGGTACAATTTTAATACAGAGATGTGGGGTTTTCCTCTGCTCCTAGGAGGAGAAACACAGTGTGAAACTCACTTGTTGACCACGTGGCTCAGCGCATATAGGGTGGCCCGGCTCTGCTGATCCCTTGCCATGTTGAAGATCTCCCACACGGTCTGTGCTGAGGGCCTTGGCATCAGGGCCACCAGATAGGTTACAATATCTATCAGAAGGGGGCTGGCATGCGTACTTCTTAGCCATTGGAAGATGTGAGAGTAACACTGGGGCTGTCCACACTGTACCAAGGCTTGTAAAGTGATGGGGCTGAGAAGAAAAATGTACAAAATGTCATACAGACTGCCTTCTAGGCAAGAAAATATCCTTTGCCTACCATGTGCCCTCTGCCAGGAGTGTCCTTGTTTCTCTTATTCATCGTCCAAATCCAGCCATCTTTCAAAATCCAACTCAGAGCCCAAGAACCATGGCGCTTTTCCTAGGAGAAGCACCCCTGAGGAAAGTCCAAGAAGGATCTCCCAGACATGCAGCTAAAAGAGGACTGTGATCACCGCCCTTCGGTTGGGACACAGAATGTGACCTTCAGAGCACTCTGAGCCAGTGACTTGAAGTGCAGAGAAATCATATCGTTATTTTGTTTGCCTGAGTTCTCTCTTCCTGGCCTATATCTTCCAGAGGGCACAGACTTCTTTTTCTCTCAAACTTTCTGGGGTATCCACAATAGAACTACCAGTAAACATTAACTGATTGACTAATTGATTAAGTGGATTGATATTTAAATGGTCCCTGAGATTCTCTGTTTGGCCAAGGTTGGAAACTTCAGCCCGCTACCTTACGTTATGTGAAAGACCAAGCAGCAACCACTAAAGAAATACCTGGACACGTCGATCAGCTGTGGCAAGAGGGATGTGACTGCCTCATTGCTGAGGCCTCTCAACTCAGTAACCAGTTTGTTGAAGAGGTTACCTCTCTGGGCATTCTTCTCAGAGGCGGACAGCTTTTTCAGTTCCTGGAGGGTCTTCAGGACCTCCTCAGCCTGCTTTGGAGGTGATGTGGATCTGGTGCTCTCAAAGGCGAGACCCACCCCCTCAGCACCTGGAGGAAGGAACATGTCAAAGGAATTCCAGCTCGCTTCCACATGTCAACCACACGTCTGTCAACTGGAAACTGAGGAGGTATCAGCGAAGGGGAAAAGAGAAGAAAACTGTCCTGTGCTCAGTGCCTGTTAAGTAAGCATCTGGCTCTGTGCTAGGTGATGGGAGGGTTAGCATTATCCTCCAGATTGAAGAAAAGGATGCTAAAACCCAGAGATGGTCAACTTTGCCCAAGAACTCTCATGGTCTAAGAGGCAGAACTAGAACTGAATTCAGGCTTGTTTGAATCTGCTGTCAGATCACCCTTTGCTGGAAAGAACTGGTGAGCAGGTGCTGTTGCTGACATGGCTACAGCTGAGGCTCGGCTCACTGGTGCTCTCCTACCATGTCTAATTGGACCTATAGCAGCTTGTGGGGAGGGGAGACCCTTGTGCAGTCCCTCCATCACCCTGCTCTGACCTATGCCCGGGAGAGGGGTGAGAGTCAGCGTGGAAGCGTGGTGTAATGGAAAGAGTCCTGGCTTCGATTAGACCTGTGTGCTCATCTGCACCACCTCTGATGTTCTGTGACCTTGAGAACCTCACTAAACCTCTCTGCGTGTCACTTTCCCTTCTGTAGAATGGGCATAAAAGCACATTTCTTTACCACCTGACATCACAGGTTTTATGAACAAACAAAACAATGAGGTAATGCACAAGAGAGAGTTCTGACGGATTTAAATGCAATACAAATGCTGGGTTAGATCTCTAATGTCCCTTCTAGCTCTAAAGACATCGATCTCTGAGATTACTATCTTGCCTGACCCTGAAGACCGTCTCCCACTTGCTCCATCTCACCCAGGCCAGCCCCAGGTCTTAAAGGATGTATGATGTCATTTCTACCAAAAATGTCATGTTAAACCTAGGATTCCAGTTTCCTATTTACCAAAACCTGGGTAGCTTTGGAAACTTCTCCCTTTCCTTTATTCCACTTGACATTCTAAAATGGATATGCTTTCTCACTAGAGGTAGCTCAGTAGCCAGAACACCAGAGTCCACTTCATTCATTAGCCAGCAGACATTTAATAAGGCCCTGCAGATTAAACCATGATTGGTACATCTTGAGCGGATTTCCTAGCTACTATATGCACATAAAGTCTTACCTTCTTCAAAAAAGCGACTGTTGGTCTTAGGTGTGTCTTCAAGTTTCAAAGTCTGTGTAACATGTGCCATCATCCCGTACTTATTCCTGGTAACACAGGAAGCATGGCGTGTCATGGACGGACAGTCCTGAGAACATACTGTTCTTTTCATGTTGACTGTTTTGCCCATCTCTGCTTCTACCCAAATCCACCTTTCAAAGCATGGTTAAGTCCAGCCATCCATGACCCCCTAGTGAATAGCACCCACCTTCTCCTGGTCACCATCAGAAGGACAGTATGTACCTTATACCCTCCACCAGTCTGGAGTACCCAGAGTATAGGGACTGACACTATGCCTTGAAATGCTTGTGTGTTTCCCACAGCACAGTGCCAAGAATATAACAGTTACTCGATAAATATCATTTGTCAGTTTTCAAACTGGTTTGGATACACCAGTCTCCAGTCAAAATCCCAAATCCTCCACGATGCCTTTAAGGCAGTCTTCAATGATTCCCCAGCTTTTATGAACTACAGCCCTTAAAGTTTGGGTCTAAAATATCTTTTGCTGGTCTTGAATTGTTTTGCATGCCTAAGACTTTTCTTCCTAATTGTCTGTTAGCTCGGAAAGGGGGACAGGGATGGGCTCTGCTTTGTACCTCTCCATAGCTCGCTCCCGGGCACAGCCTAGCCCAGAACAGGGCATTTGAGAAGCACGTGGCTCACACCAACTTACTAAATGATGAATCAGGGGTGTAGCAGGTGACCTACTTATGGGAGAAAGGCAGGAACAGGTGCTGCTCCTTGCAGATGGCTTCTGACACATGCTTCCTCTTGGAGTCCAGGGTGTACTGGCAGGACTGGCTGCTGCTGATCAGAGTTGACAAGGGGCGGGTCTGAGAATGAGATCGGGGAAAGCGTTTTGATCAGTCCCTGGGGCTTGAACCTGAGTCTCCTGTCATAGGAATTTACCTTCAAGGTAGAAGGGAGTGGGAATCCTGTACCACTAGATAAACTCAGTGAAAAGAGAACCAGGTACTTGACATTTAGATAAGGAGACGCAACACGCAACGAGTTGGCATAGCAGTGAGTTGGCAGACCCAAAGCAGAGTCAAGCTACGGATGCTTCTTATTCCACCCCAGAGGACAAAGTATATACCTGTATCCTACACCTACCCATCCCACCACACGTAACACCTCACGCCCTCCTCCTCATGACGTTCTCTTTGCCTAGAAGCCGGTCCTCATGTCTCTTCGTTTATACATCATTTGTATTTTCCAGGATTGTGCCGCACATCCCCCGTGAAACTTTGCCCAGTGGGCTACGTGGATAGCACCGACTGCTTCCTGGTCTAGGACCGCTTTCTGGTCTGCACTGCTCACTTTGTCACCCTATTGGGCACCCCACGTACTGTCCTTTACTGGCACATGTATGAGCCTGGTTCCTGCATTAGACTGGAAGCATCATGAAAAGAAGGTCCATGGTTCATCTGCCACTGTCCCTCCCTAGTGGTGCCTGGACTGAGGCTGAACACACATCAGGTGCTCAGAGAAGACACCTAAGCAAGTGCATCACTGTTTTCTGACTGTGGCACTTGTGATCACTCGACTCTCTATTTTCGATCCCAAGGACAATGACCAGAAGCATTGCCAGGCACGGCAGTGATTGCTCAAATCCCTCATGTTCACTGAAACAACCTGTGACTCACGTCCCGGAAGATGTTACTGGGGGGTTAGGCAAGCTCAGGCAATATGGCACTACATGACCTCAGTTACCAGCAGAGAAGGTTAGTACCGAGAAGGTAACCTGGGCAGGAGGCAGAGGGGCTGGGGTCAGGGTTCTACTTGGGGTGGAAAGACAGGAAGCTGCAACACCTTTCATGTCACTTCGTGTGATGAGGGGAGGAGAAAAGAATGCAGGTCTCAGGACATCCTTGGAGGCCAGAGGCTTGGAGCTGAGTACAACCACCTCTTGCACAGGGAGGACAGTGGGAAGCTTTGTCACCCTGCATCAAGCCCCAGAGCCTTCTCAGGGGTGAACTACCATTACTCTCAAGTGATGGCAGATGGTTTGGTGCCAGTGACAGGATGATAGCAGGAAGGACAGAGCTCTGGGCTGGGAGTCAGGAGCTGATTCTAGTCCTGGCTCAATTAACAACAGGCCATGTGGCTTCGGCAGCCCCTTCCATGCCCGGGCCTGTGTCCTGACTGTAGTCTGTACAAAGAACAGGCTGGGCAAGCTCTTCCCAGAGCCTCTATTAGCTCAGACATTCCAGAATATCAGCAAGACAAGCTTCTGTGCTGCTGCTCGGTGTGCATGACGACGCTGACGGGAGACCTACCATGCCTTTGATGAGAGCCAGCGGGCTGACGCCTGTGCTGATGGGCTTGAAGCTGTCGCACTGCTCCAGGTTTCTTTCTGTGGATACTTCTGTTGCCACGTTTCCCTTCCTTGTCTTTACACTGAAGTCAGTGGAGCAGTTTCCATACACGGTATCCTGTAGGAGCAGAAGGTACAGCAGGGCATGGTTGACATGGGCAGACATCCTGAGCTACTCGGGAGGAACTGGGAAAAGAGCCTGGGAGAGAAGGCGGCAGCGGTGCAGATTTGCCTTCTTTCCTCCAAGGCAGCGTGTGGCACTGCTGGTTCCTGAGCAGCCAGAGTTGGGGAAGAGAGTGCCAGTTACGGTGGTCCTGAGGGGAGGCCTGCACAGGATGCATCTCTGCACCCTTCAGGCCAGTGCAGTCTAGAACTTGGAACACAGTGAGGGCCCCAAAGTGTTCGTGGGACTGAAGTCAATTGAATTCTCTCTCAGATGGAAACCTGAAACCCTTAAAAGAAGCTGGCAACATATTTCACTATTTTTGGTGTTTAAAATACACAAGCCTTTACTGGGCTATACCATGTGGGAAAAGGAGAACACAGTCAAAAAATGCAGGGCTGGGTGGGCAGGACTCCCCATCAACTGCTTTAAAATTAGACCCAACTTGATCAGCCAGCTCAGGATGAGTGGGCAGTGGGCCCAGGGGACAGAAGGAGTCTTGGGCACTGGTGTTTCACACCAGTATAGGGTTTCCTGTGTAACTAGCCACATAGCCAAGTCAGCGACCCACTTCATGCACAGTGGGCCTGGTCTCTGACACGCAAAGATGAGTTTAAGGGCCACTGTTATCAGCTTTCTAAATTCTCACCAGAAACAACTCTTGCTTGGCCTCTTCTGTCTCCAGGGGAACCAGAAGGGTGGAAATGATGCCTCTCTTGATGTTCAGGATGTGTTTAGGTTCATCCTTCTCTGGGTAAAGGACAACTTGCTTCCCTGCTGGAGTGGCCAGCCTGAGCTCGTTCCTGTCCCAGACAGAGAGAGTGGTCAGAGAAGTGTCCCCTCCCCATTGTGAGCCTGCTGGAAGCAAGGCAGCCTTGCAGACTCCTCTGTCCTTAATTGTTCTTCTTTTTACGTCATTTCTTTGTAAACATATCTACACATATTCATGTCTTTTCAAAAAAAAAAACTATGCAAATATATATTTTTGCCATTTCTTTTCTTTTTCTTTTTTTGCTTGGCTGAGCCATCCCCTCTCTGTTCTCCACCCACACGTCTCTGCCCCATTCTCTCCATATGGACACCCTAGTGGGTCTTCCATTGATATCCCTATACTCTGAAATCCTATACAGACATGGATGGGTACAAATGTAGGCATATAAAGATTTTGTTGTCATTTGTTTTATGCAAATGGCATTGTGCCTACTTTATTTTTCTCGCTTTTCTCATTTATACTTCACAAAAGTCCTCCTGAGCCATTTGGTACAGCCATAACCAATTCTTTTTAAAAAACTGCATAACATTCCAATCTATGGTCATACGTAATTCATTCAGACATTGTCCCATTTGATGGTGTTCACCTTCTCTCTCTCTGGATTTTTTTTTTTTTTTTTTTTGGCAACACAACACTGAAATAAACTTCCTTATGCATCTATCTCCACATGTTACTGCTTTTATTTTCATGGGTTAGAGTCCCAGAGACTGAAATTGCTGTGTCAAAGGGCATAAGTATTTTTAATTAGAGTAGATAATGCCTGAGGGCTGTCACGTCCACCAGCAGTGCATGAGAGCATGATTTTCCCCACTGGACTGCCAGCAACAGGTGCTTTTGCTATTTGAAAGTTTTGCAGTCCACTGGGTATAAGGTGATAAATATCTTATGGTTACATTAATTTGCATTTCCTGATACTAGTGAATTTTAGCTTTTTTTCATATATTTGTTGGACATGCACTCTTTTATATGGTGTCAGGCCATGTCTGAAGCTCACAACAATCAACTTTGGCTTTAGGAATTTCTCTTTTTGGGACTATTTGGGTTTTTGAGGACCCAGCTGCAGCTGCTGTAGTTTAGTCATAAAGAGGCAAAGGAGAACAGACACTACACCCTTTCAGAAAGTTCCAGATATGGCAGTGCAGGCCTGGAAAGCCCTCCTGGTCAAGAGCAGGAGTCCTTCTTGTTTGGAAATAAGCAAGGACCAGAAAGTAATTGCTTCTCCTTCTGGCCACCTCCTCTTCTCCCACATATATATATAAGTTGCAGATAAAATAAGGGGTATTGATGAAAGACAGAGCATCAAAGCCTATATTTTTGCCAAGAGTCTAGTGTTTAGCAGATCAAAAGACAGGCAGGGATGGTGCTTCCCTATGCTACCAAATTAATAACTCCATGACTGCACGTATTCACCCATTCCTAGGACCCTACAAACTGTGACTGGGGATGAGGCAGGGGTGGCGTTGAAAATTAACAACTGGTGCAGCATGGGCACCAGTCAGAAGAGATGCCCCTGCCAGCAACCGCAATGGCCTTATGAGCGTGCAGTGGCTGGACGCCTGCCCTGGGTAGGGGAAACACTCAGGGCTTGGTTCTCCCTTCCCCTGCACCATACAGACCCTGCACAGTCACGTGTAGTTCTCAGCAGCAAGGGTTGCTGGGACTCATGCTGAAGACCACCAGGCACCAGCCTTATTTAATTCTTTAAATAAGAATTCACTTTTTTAAACAGTACATCTCAGCTTTATTGTCTTAAGGAGTTTAAAACATGAGATCTTTTAGAAACACATTTAAATGATAATTAAGGGAACCTAAGCAGGAGAAGGTAAATAATGCTTTCCTCTTTTTTTTTTTTTTGTCTTTTTCCGTGTCCGGCAACGGATCGCAACCCTCAGTGTCGCCCCCGTACCGGACCGGGGACCGGCAACGGGATCGCAACCCTTGGTGTTGCCCCTGTGCCTCACTCAGCCAGTGAGCGGGAACCGGTCTGTATGTGGGATCCGAACCCTCGGCGGGAGCGCCGCCGCGCTTCCCAAGTGGCACACTAGCGCAGTGCGCCACCGGGCCGGCCCAATGCTTTCCTCTTTTTGATAGTCATGAAAACTCAGCAATTCCTTGATCCATGGTGAATACACACTACAAATATTCACACTCACATACACGTCTGCTATGAGCACACACATTCATATCTCAGCAGACACAAACACACACTCATGAACAACACATCCGGGGATGCCCAGAGCTCAGAAATTTAAATCCGCAAGCCCACGACTTACTGGGACATGGCAGCAGCAAACTCCTCTGAGTTCTTAGTCTTCTTCAGCAAGGCCTTGCCCTCAGGGTTGAAGCCATACACCTCCTTCAGGGTGCACTGGCTGGTCTTCAGGATGAACTTGCAGAGCTGGGGAACCTCCAGCTCAACCTGAGAATAGAGGGCAGGAGCACACGGAGATTCTCCATTGAGAACAGGAGATGTCTCCCACAGCCCAGGGCTTAATCTCTAACCAGGACACAGAGGGAAATGCTGGTGGGGAACATGACCCAACACCCCAGGTCTTCTAAACACGTTTCATGAATTCTCCATGAATCAACCTAGGCTTAGTCCTTTTTTCAGCCTTTCCCCCCCTGTTGTAACAAGTTTTTTGAATTTGCCCCCACGCACATGAGGGAGGACATCTTCCTATTGGTTCTAAATTTACTCACTTCAGTTATAAAGAGGTGTAGTTGGTTAGAAGAAATTTTCATAGCTATTAGGGGCTATTTAAAATTTCACATATGTGTACAGTTTAAACAGACCCCTAGTTATTATCCAGCACTATGCAAAGAGCTTTCTGCCATAATAGAAATATTCTGTATTTGCGCTGTCCAATATGGTGGCCACTAGCCATGGCTGGCTTTTGGGTGCTTGAAATGTGACTAATGCGGCTCAGGAGCTGAATTATTAATTTGATTAAATTTAAATTATTAATTTATTATTTATTAATTCTTTTATTATTTATTTATTATTTATTTTAATAGCCACATGAGGCTAATGCCTACCTTACCTGACAGCACAGACAAGAGCTTTAGGGCTCTATAAAGAAGGGGCAACTTCTCAGCCTGGCTTCTGCTCCCCACGCACATTCCAGTAGTAACCCTTAGATCTGCTCCATACGTACAGGGACACGAGCACAAGCATCTCAGTAATAAGTACAGTTTCCTTTTAGAAAAAACTGTGTATTTAATTTCTTTCTTTCTTGCTTGTTTTTAGCAACAGATCCTTCTGACTTATATGCTAGACACTGCATTCCACAGAGCCTTCCTGAGACGCCCGCCTCCTTAAGTTCATCCACCAGGCTTCTCTCATTTTCAAATCTACAGACCTACACGGCTGATATTCTAGATCATGCACTCCAATCACATCTTGGAAGCTAATGGGAAAGTAAATATAGCTGGCAACACTTTTTGTGATAGACAACTTCTCAGCAATGTGACTGACTTCCAAACTGAGGGACGGTCCCAGCAGCACTTTGAGATCACAACAGTCCTGGCACGTGCTGGGTTTGCTCAGCACACAACCTCCTGGAAGGTCCCGTGCTGGGTACCCGGTGAAGCAGGGTTGGGGGAAAGCTGCAGGCTCCAGGTTCCTCGGGCCCCCATCTTCCATACCTTGCAGTTGATCTTGGTGGCGCTTCTTGAATCAGCAGTCCCAGGGACTCCGCTGGAACTTTCGGCCTCATAATTATACACGTATTTCCGGAGGTGCTTGAATCGAGTTGCATCTTCTAAAATGAGGAGAAATAAGTCGGTCAAAACAGCAATAAGGGCCGGCCCGGTGGCGCACTGGATAGTGCGCCGCTTGGGAAGCACGGCGGCGCTCCCGCCCGAGGGTTCGGATCCCACATACAGACCGGTTCCCGCTCACTGGTTGAGCGAGGCGCGGGAGCAACACTGAGGGTTGCGATCCGTTGCCGGTCACGAAAAAAGACAAAAAGGAAAAAAAAAAAAAACCAAAAAAAAAAAAAAAGGGCCCGCCCGGGGGGCGCCGGGGATGGGGCGCCGCTTGGGAAGCACGGCGGCGCTCCCGCCCGAGGGTTCGGATCCCACATACAGACCGGTTCCCGCTCACTGGTTGAGCGAGGCGCGGGAGCAACACTGAGGGTTGCGATCCGTTGCCGGTCACGAAAAAAGACAAAAAGGAAAAAAAAAAAAAACCAAAAAAAAAAAAAAAGGGCCCGCCCGGGGGGCGCCGGGGATGGGGCGCCGCTTGGGAAGCACGGCGGCGCTCCCGCCCGAGGGTTCGGATCCCACATACAGACCGGTTCCCGCTCACTGGTTGAGCGAGGCGCGGGAGCAACACTGAGGGTTGCGATCCGTTGCCGGTCACGAAAAAAGACAAAAAGGAAAAAAAAAAAAAAAAAAAAAAAAAAAAAAAAAAAAAAAACCAGCAATAAACCTCTCAAGGACAGTCAATTCTGGGCAGAGGGACAATGGAATAGATAATAAAAAATTAATAAATTGTTTTAAATTGATTTTGCATTATACTTAATTTTCCCTTATAGATTTAACTTCTCCAGTATGTTTTTGCTGAAGCTAATGTTTAAATTAGCCGGTATTCCTTAACTATATCATCTGAAGTACAGGGAGAGGAGTGTCACGTATCAAGGAATGGGGCTCAGAAAATCTAAAGAAGAGACTTCTGGAAAATTAAGTGTTGACAGCATTAAGCAAAAGGATAGTACTATTTCTAATGCTTTTTCAGCTTGAAAACACCATAATTATGTTATTCTTTTTGGATTCTACCAAATGCATGAGGCAAAGTTCATTAAGCATTAAGAGTATCTGGATAATTTAAGAAGCCCCCGCTAGATGGAATTTCTGGATGTTTCCACTGTGCTTGAGAGGAATTTTCTGAACAATTTGGGAGTAAGAGCGAGTCACGAGTTTAGATGCAATAATGGCAGATGCCCACCAGATGGCGGTGCAGCCCCATCAGAGGGCAGCCCTGCCTCCCTCAGGCGAACACAGGGCACTTACTGCTGCAGGGCCAGCTCCTTTGACCCCTGGGGTCAGGTAAATAGGAAGGGGTGAGGGTCTGGATTTCGGCACAGAGGTTAAAGTCAGCATTTCCTCACCCTCACATGCTCTGAATCAATGATCAGTCACTGATAAACAGGACAGCAATGTCTCTTCAAAGTGTCCAGAGGCCAACAGAGTGACAGTCCCTACCCCACCCCCAGGCGAGCTTTGGGGACAGAACAGAAGAGCAGGTAGAAGACAGTTGCGATCACTTGGGGGAAGGCTGAGGCACACCAGTGCGAGCGTCAGAGCACTGCAGAGTGAGCGGTGCTCAGCGAGCGCAGGTGCAGGAGGGTGGGCTGGGCGGGGGTCGCCCTTCCAGCCCGGTGGGGAAATGCCTTACTGGGACAGCTCGGGCTGACATTGTCCAGCACTTCGTCCTCTGCAAGAAAAGGAGAAAGAAAACCGTGGGTTGTCCTCGTCTTCCCAGTGGGTGCTGGAGCGACCACTCCTCAGCCCCTCCAGCCTGCCGCCGCCGCTCCGCTCCCCCCCATCCTGAGTCTGGAGGAACCACCAGCTGGTCCCGTCCCCTGTCCTCGGACCTTCTGGACCCCTGTGACTGCCCTCCCTCTGAGCCGGACTGCAGCTACCCCAGCCAACCTCCTGCCACGGGCTCCCACCCCCTGGTTTAAAGCGGGTCCGCACCGCACCCCGCACTCACGGGCCGGGACGCCTGCAGCCAGCAGCGCCAGCAGCAGCAGCAGCAGCAGCGGCGGCGGCGACAGCAGCGCGGGCCTCGGCGGGCCCATGCCGAGCGGCGGGTGGGGCGGCTCCCTGGCTGCGGCCTGGCCTGGCTCGGTGGCTCCGTAGGAACAGGCACCGCGGCAGGCTCTAGTCCGCCCCGCAGGCCCAGGTGCGAATGGGCGGCCGGTGCCCGCGCTCTATTTATGGGAGGCCCTGGCTTTTAGAGAATTGCAAAAGGTCCAAAGGGCGCGTCCCAGCCGGACCTGTTTGCTTTTGCACAGAGGCTTGTCTCTGGGCCCCTGGAGGGGGTCGGGCAGGGGGCTCACTTGGGACCCAGCCGCAGCCGCCGCCCCGGGGCTTTCCCCTGGCCTGGCCTTCCTCTCTGGGGTCTCAGACGGGGGGGTCACAGCGCCAGTGGGCTTAGTGCGTAGAAGCCTGCCCTGTCCCAGGAGTGCTTTCAGGAGGTGACCTAAGAGGGGGAGAAAAAAACCCTCTCTCCACCCCGCTCTGACTCTGGAGGGCTTTGAGGAGTCAGTCCTTAACAGGTCTTGGTTTAAACATTTCTCTACCTGTTTTTTTTTTTTTTTTTTCTTTTACCATTTTGGTGGATTTAGGGTTTGCATGGATGTCTCTAATCCTGATCAGTACCTATGGCTGCGAGTCACCCGCCCAGGTGCCCCAGTCTTCAACCAGCCCCAGCGAGGTGGGGCCTCTGGAGAAGACCAGCCCCCCAGCTGCCCCTATGCCCCTATGTGCACCAGCTCCTCGGTTTCCTCCAGTGGTGGGGAGACCGGTGAGAAGCAGAGTAGTGGACTAGACACAGCGTGTTCCTCAAAAACGTCCCAGAACTTTCTCCACGAATGGTTTCCTTCTCTTCTAGGTACCGCCTATTTCCCACGGGCAACTTTGGCCAGTGCTCTCTGCCTCTGCCCGGCTGTAGGAAATCAGGCGCAGGACAGGCCTTTCAGCTGCACGGGTTGTGCTGACCCAGGGTCAGTCAGAAAGGCTTATTGATGGGCGGTACTGGGATGCGAGAAGGAACGTTTGAGCCCGGCTGCGTCCGCAAGGCCCCGCCAGTCTGGTTGGGGAGATGTGTAGACGGGAAACTGCCAGTGAACAATCGAGGCAGGATGTGGGGCGTGACAGCTGGAGGGGACACAAGAAGGAGTGAGAGCAGGAGACCTAGGAGCAGTGAAGCGGGACTAGAGGGATGGGATATCGGAAGTCCCTTCCGTGGAAGTCAGTATTTATTGTCACAATTTGTCAGCTTTGTTTGATTTCTAAGATATATCTGGATGGAACAAGCTACTTACGAAGTCGTTGAAATCTTCTGGTGTCATGAATGATGGTTCCAGAAGGGTCAATTCTGAAAGAGTAATTGTGTCTAAAGACGCTGTTCCCTCAGAGGAGACTGACACGATGACGCGTGTCTCGCGCCCTGCACTTGGGCCTCCACACTTCTCTTCACTCAGGTATTGTGATCTTCAGCTGCGAACTCCCTGTGGGCAGCTAAATTCCCTTCAGTCATCAGTTGCTTTGCATTGATATAAATATTGTTGAAAGTGGATATCACAGAGGTCTCAACCCAAGGCTCACCGCATTGTGAAAGGTCTGCAAAAATTAATTGTCCCCAAATCACATTTCTTTGAGCATTTAATTTGAGTTTTATGAGGACTGAGTTTCCCCAGGACTGGCTGCTGTTAGCATTTGAGGAAATGGTGCCTGCTCACGCACGCATGCCTATTCACTTTAAGAGGAACGGGAAAGAATATTTAGGCATAGAGAAGCCAAAAGGAAATGGCTAACTTTAATGTACAGACACAAGTCCAGGCTGTCTCTGTTGGATGACAGATGAAGCCAGTGTCCTGCGGTCAGCATCCACAGAGAACGTAATTTTTACAAATTAGGAATCAAAAATAAATCTAATAACTTGCATGCAGAAACAAGTCATGGGATGTTTGAATGAGGCTGAGCTGTCACCAGCTCTAAAGGAGAGATCCTGAGACTGGGGAGCACTGGGTTCAGCCTCTCTTTCTTTCCGTCATGGCTTTTGGAAAGGCTCCCCTGGGCTGGGCCTCAACCAGCAGGACTGATGCTCCGACAGGCTCCAGCACAGATACTCTACGGAGCGAGTGTTGGATTGTTGAACTGACTTGTGTACACTGGGAGAAATACTGTAAGGTTTAATGCGTAGATTTTTCTTAAATTAGAAAGTCCACTTAGCTCTTTGTCATAAGCTACTTGAAAATATGGTATTTGTGACCCCAGATATCACCCTTCGTTTCTTTTCCTTTAAGTAGAGACATTCTGGTGTCACGCAGATTAATCTCAGCTTTGACTTATCAGCTCATGGCTGCAAAGTCCTGCTGGGCTAATGGTCACTCTGAGTCATCACAGGGCTTTGGGTGCCCATTAGAAAGCCACCTGACTAGGGGCGTTTCAAGGAATTAGATAATGCTGAATGTCCTGGTTATAGTCTCTAGAAGCAAAACTATCCATTCCGCTACCTGAAGGTGACAAGAAGGGTCTTGGTCAACTTCAAGGAACCATTTAAAGCTATTAAATGCCCCAAGAATCCCAATATTCTGAGTTCAGTGCAGTTCACATACTGAAACAGGTGCTCAGTAAATAATTTGCTGAATCTGAATGAATGAATCTATGCCATTCAGTTATAGCCTTTTGCTTACAGGATATTTATGTACAGTGACCACATTGCTAAATATATGTTTTCAGTGACATAAAGCAAGGAAATACAATCTGATACAAATTATTCCCAGCCGTGCTATTCATAAACTCATCCGGCAAATAGGGACCAGGATTGCAGTGATTCATTAGCCTATCTCTTTTCTGCCTATAACATTATAATTGCAAAGGATGCTCAGAAGCTGGAAAATAAACTTCAAGAGTTGTAGATGGAACCATGCCCAGTGTGTTCTGCACATGCCGATGACAAAACATGCACACAAGTGAGAATGTCAAGGAAAAAAATGGTGCATTTAGGTGAATGGTGCAGGTGGGGGATACCGGTGTCCACCAAATGTAGACATTACATATATTACCTTGCCAGCCAGAGAAACCAAGGAACCCAGCCCAGGAGAAACTTTCCAATAGCCATGAGGGAAAGAAATGGAGGCTGAACCCAGCACTCCCCAGTCTTGGGATTTCTCCTTTAGAGCTGGTGACAGCTCAGGCTCAACCAAACATCCCACAACTTTTTCTGCATCCAAGTTATCAGATTTATTTTCGATTCCCAATTTGTAAAAATTACGTTCTCTGTGAATGCTGACCACAGGACCCTGGCTTCATCTGTCATCCGACAGAGACACCCTGGACTTGTGTTTGTACGTTAAAGTTAGCCATTTCTTTCTGGTTTCTCTACACCTAAGGAATAAATGCTATGCTGATAATGTCATATGGTCCTTGAGAGAGAGTTTTCTTTCACATATGCACTTCATTTTTGCTCTTGAGGGATGCTGTGTATTTTCATATCTTAATTTAGATTCATAGTGTGAACTTGAAGTTGTATGAGAGAGAGGCCTGCTCTGTGACCTGGGATCATGGGACAGTCTCTAAGACTGTAGGTATCAATCCCACATCTGTGTGATGAGAGAACAGGACCAGATGACCTCTTAGGTCTATGCCAGATCTGACTATTTGATTCCATGGAAACTTTGGGACCTCAAAAGTGAGTACATAAATTATTCTAGAGTCAAATCTCATGCCAGCTAAGAACTGTGGCTAAGGATTCAGCATCATCGAGCAGGATGGATTTCTGGGAGGCCACCTACCTCTATAAAGACCTGCACTTACACTATCCAAGAGATAGAGCCCTTCAGCCATTTTAAACAGATGTCCAAATAAAGAGAGAGCATGCCTTCCTGGGGGCACTGGGAACAGGGAGTCACAACTCTCAGGAAGTTCTTCCTCATGTCTAGCTTGATGCTTCATCCTTGCCTTGACCTCAGACAAGCTTCCTTATATAACTTAGGGTTTCCTTTGAGAGGCTTTTTGCCAGCTTTTGCCAGCTGCTCTTTACTAATTTTTGCTTTTTAAGTTTTCTTTATGTTCTCACAGCAAGACTAAGGCCTCAGAACGCTGAGACCAGGGTGGTGACAGACAGCTGGATGGATAAACAAGCCTTACCACCCCACACTTCCATGAATTCTGTTAGAATATTTAGGGAGTCCCTGAGCACTGTTGTTTGAGAGCTCACAGATGAGAAGGGCATAAGTACCCATCATGGCTAATCACGAGTGTATGTTAAGTGCCCACTGTGGGGTCTGCACTGCAGACTGTCATGGTCCGGTGTGGGTCTCGTGGGTCCTAGAGGGGTGAGACTCGACTGGTTCTTGGATGACAGACTGGGTTTGGGTAGGTTGGAATGGGTGGATCCATCGAAACAGCAGTGGCAGGAAGCTGAGAATATGTTTGATGTGTCTGACAGTCAGTGACGCAGCCAGCCAACTAAAGTCTGCGGAGGGAATGGGGAGAAAGGAGATGGGGGAATCGCAAGGGGACACAGCTTTCCGGCTATCTTTGATTTAATTTGGCATTAAATGTAGTACATATGGCATTGAAACTCTAGATTGTATAGAAACCATGAATATTGCCCTGAATTCTTGTCCAGAGCTGTGAAGGAAGACGTAGGAACAGGAATTCACAGAGTCAGACAGACATAGAGAGGATCTTAGAGTCTAGACTAACACTCTCGTTTTATAGATAAACCGAGGCTGACAGTCTAAGATTTTTGTGTTTTGTCTTGTTATGTTTTTCATGAGAAGGACAGAGATAGGGCAAGAATTCAGGTACTCTCTAGTTTATAATTTAGGTTATTCATTCTACTCTGATTGTGCTATATCAGCATTGGCTATGTAAAATTTCTCGAAGATTGCTTTATAAAGATGAATCTTTGATATCGCTGTATTTCCTTGTAATCTATTTCCAATTAAAAGTGAAACATTTAGTTGATTTTTCGTGGGTTCGTATTTAGAATAAATATTACTGTGTAACTAATTGTATAGAATCATAGAGGTTCGGGATCCTATAAAGTCACTGAATCCAACTC